TGTGCTTCTGACACAGGCTCTTGGATTGTGGGATGCTTACTAAGAATAAGGAGCTTTCTGTTAATGAATGCATGGATAATGGCTGATGATGGCCAAGTGTTTAAAACGAAAAGCTTTTATGTAAAATGTGGTCTGAGTATCACTAGGAATACAGATCTGCTTAAAAGAACCAGTTCGCAATTCTTTGACAATAGAATTTCATTAACTAAAGACATTCACCTAATAACAAACGAATTAATGGAACTGCTTTTTAAATGTCACAGATATTTTATACATCTCATTTCATTAGAACCAGCTTGGAGATCGCCATAGCCCATGTTTCAGCATATGATCAGAATGCAAAATAAGTAATTTACTACTGTCATTTCTTCTAAACCTTTCCACCAATCGTTGATAAACCATCCATAGGAAACATAGACAATTGATAAAGACGTGCCCAGTTTTCCCCACCTCTGATATACTGCATGTACAGTATAGTGGAACCATGCAGATCTACTTTTGTAGAGACAGTTAGGCAAAATAATTTTTATAATGGCTTTTCAACCTGTTGTTGAGCCATAGACAAACTCAGTGGTATTCACTCCGGGCCTTGGAGGGCCATTGGGTTTTATAGGTAATTAATAATCCTCAATGAGACCAATTAAATGAACACTAATTCAAATAAAGTCATTAAGAGTCCAGGTAGAAATGAAATCCAGACATTCTGACTGTTCTACAGTACCAGAAGTTAACATCTGTGGTCAAACTAGCTGAATTATAAGTGATTTATGTCTCTTGCTCACACTCATAACCAGAAATATCATCGGCACACACAATTAAATTTTGAATGAAAGAAATGGGTTTCAATGTGTTTTGAAAATCAAAGACAAGTTGAAAAAAGAGTATTTGATTTGCTGGAACAATAAGTATTTGTTTTATTTAATGATTTATAATTTGTGTCTCTGGAACTTCTCTCACGACGAATTGAGGACTACAAAATGAATGATTAAACAACTTTTTAATTAATATAACTTACATACATAATTTAAATACTGTATGATATTCTGCAATCGCATTTCTGAACAGCGAGAATTCACTATTGCCGGAGAACTCTGTTTATGTAACATACATCGATAAACTAAAAAAATATATTCAACAACATTTTGCGATTAAACATGAAATTTAGCTTTTATTAAAATCAAGATGTAAATATTCTGAGAATAGTTTACACGGGATGTCATCTGGGAACTATCCTGTCCCTCAAAGGAAAGACCTCGTCTTTTCCAGCATGAGTAACTCTGCAGGCTAAGGTTCACAACAGAATTAATATTATTTTTAATATTTTCCTGGTAATTCAAGTTCCAAATGGAACTTCCAAATGGAGGTATAACGAAGAAGCACAACTTGTCAAGAGCTCTTTCGTAAAGAACAGTCAATGGGCGATACCTCTACACCATGACGTTACAAACAGGCTTAGTATGGGGCTACCTGTACAGGCATATTCTTTTGACAAGATGTTTTCTATGTTTGAACATTAATAATGTTCTGTAGGTCAATGACAGTTCTGAAATAATGTTCAAATTGTATAATGTCAGTTTTAAAATTAAAGATGGAAAGGGTGGCAAAATACAAATATACAGTACAAGAAAGTAAAGAAACACTAAATACACATAAACTGGTGTGTCCTGTGTTGAACGTTAGCAAACCCCTTTAACATACTGTATCTCTGGGATTCAGAACAGAGTAAACTTTAAACTTTTAAAGCATAAAAAAGCAAAGCATAACAATCATAATAAAAACAAATGTCTTTTATCAACATGAAACAGCATTAATCCTGATTATGGAGAATGTATTTGTTTGCATTTAATGAGTCTATAGAGTATGGAGGCCCCCTGCTGTTCAATTCTTATTATTTTATCAGATTGGATGATCAGCTTGAAAATCACAAATAATCTTTTTAAGTTTGATTTGCTTTTTCTTATTTGCTTTAGAGTACAGTAGCTTGATATGTGCCAGTCATCTCAGGACACCCTGTGAACTCATTAATGGCTTGCCGTAAGTTTCTCTGTCACAGTTATGAAATGATCTCAGCTTCAGAAAATTTGTCTTATTAATGCTACAGTATGGCTTACGTGTATGTGAATAATGGCATTTTTTTAAGATGATAAAATTCCTATTATTTTTGATTGGCATGACATTCTAAATCTTCCAGAAAATAAAGTGCATATTTTCTATAAAACATCAGTTTCACCACAGGAGATAGGAAAGTTATCTTGATGTTATCTTGGAAATGCCATTGAATTGATTGGAATTAAAAAGTCTACTGTATGCTATCATTTTCAAAAGTCTGTAATGACTCATGCACTGTGCTGCTGGAGATTGTCATATACATATATGTATACAGTACATATGACATAAAATCATATATATATGTCAGATACAGGCACACTAAAAATAACACATTAAATATTCCATTGTTAGAAAATAGCATTGGAAACTGGTCTGAAATAGTCTGACATTAATCTGTGTGACCTTTATCCAGACTTCACAGTGACTCATGTTCTTTTTTGATAAAGTCATTTGATAATTCATGAGATCAAATGTGGTTTTTCTTACTTCTTTATAGACCATTAATGCTTACACAGTTTAGTCAGTTTTGTAAAGTACATTATCTTTCTATTCAAAATATATTCATGGACACCAAAAAAAAGTTTCTATTTTTTTAAGGTTTGTAATATTCTTCATTTTCTTATCAGTTTACATTATCCAAACAACATTTTACTTCAATATTCTTGAAAATATGTGAAAAAGATGACTGATCAATGTGTGTCTCAGTCCTACATAGCAGTTAGATAATTTGTACAATCCATTGCTGTTATACTGTTACTCTAAAAGTATCTGAAAAAGCTGAAAGGTTAATCCAATATGTTAATACAAGGATTACAAGGATTTATTTAAATGACCATGTACACCAACAGTGCTTGGGGCACTTAATAGGGTAAAACAAAACAAACAAAAATGAGAAAAATTCAAGCAACTGAACAGAAAAACATGGATGAAGGAGAAAAGACAGACTTGAATTAATAGCCCGACTAAACAGACAAGTCTTTACTCTAGATTGAAAAACTGTAAAAGCATTTAAATTGTTCAGGTTGGTAAAGACTGAGTTCCAGAGTTGTGGAGCAAGGTGGTTGAAAGCCTGCACCATTTCAGATATTTGTGTGTATAAAAAGATACTTTTAAAAGGTGCACCTCAGCAGTGTATAAAACCCTGCTTGGCACATCGGGAATAATGAGAGATGTTAAAAATTGGGAGGATTTGGTGTGTAGAGCTTTAAAAGTTAAGAGTAAAATTTGTAAAGTGAAAGTGCTGCATAGTGGGGAACCAGGGAATACTGTCAGAATTGGGGTGATGTGGTCACAGAGCCTTGGACCATATGAAGTTTGTTTAGTGAGAGAGTAGGGTGACCACTGGAAAGGCTATTACAGTAATCCTGCCAAGGTATGATGAAGACATGCAGCAGTATAATCAAGAAAAGACTGAATGTGGGCAATGTTTCTGAGGTGAAAGTGAGAGGCTTTACAGATGGCTTTTATTTGTTCATCGATACAGAGCTCAGGATCAAACAAAAAGGCCAGATTTCACAAGCTGGACAGAATTAGAGGCTACTGTTTCCAAGTTGTAGAGAATTTAATAAATGAAATGCATCTTCCCCAGGATTTATACAGTACGAATCACTTCAGTTTTTGTTACATTTAAACGGAAGAATAGTAGTTATAGTCACTAATAAACTTGTTAATAATCCTCTTCAAGGCAATCAATGATTGCTTGCTCACTATATGTGGATAGAAATCTTTCCAGTCAACAAGAATCATATATTTGGTATTTGAACTGGGAACTCACTCTAGTTGCCATTTATAATCGATTCTAAGCCACCTCTTTTCCTATATCATACACCTCAACTGTGGTAGAATGTTATATACAGTATTACAAAGTAAAGAATATGAAATGCATGTCAGTCATATTCACAAAACCTCTCCTATTACAGTTCCTCATTACAGCTGTCCGCCCACATTCCTGTTCAAACGTTAAATCACTTTGTGAGACAGACTGTCTAAGAATGTCATCTAAGAGGTGATGGAAGCTCATGATTGCACTTCCGTTCCAACTAATTTCAGCATTTGAATAAAAACCCTCCTGACTGTTTATTTTGAGATTAATCCGTCTCTCCCAATCCAGCATCTTTTCCTCATATACCAGTTTTTATTGTTGCACCTTCTTAGTGTGTGCATGCAAAATACAATTCTGTAATGCCTTCACCATATCATAAAATGTAGACTTAAAACAACCTTGTTTTTCATCTCTCTGGTAGTGCTCTACACTTGGACCTACGTATTCTCCCAAAAAGAAAAAATGGAAATTGAGAATGTCTCTTACCACACACACTGCAAAAGAAGATGGCTGTAGCTAAAATGTCAGAACTTTTTTGATGTAGAAGACTATTACCACATCCTAAACTTCACTAGCTGTGGAAGATGGCATACAATACAATAGATTAGCTCAATCCTAGGCGTGAAATCATAAAGATATTAAATGTTTTCTGAAAGCTTTTAAACTGAATTCTGAGGGCAACAACAGACGCTATACATAGATTATGGCCTTGATGCTTATTTTTTAAGCTGTCGCATTCTGCAATTTGGAAAACGTGGCTTATACTGTATACAGTACTGTATTTCTTAAAATCCTGAGGTTATAACTCTTAAAATAGATTAAGTATTTTGAGTAAAAACTGGTAATTTTAAGTCCTTGGTAATTTTCTACTAGTTGGCCAAAGCTAATAAGATGATGTTTCACTAATCTGTGTCACTTAATTCTATTGCAGGTATTAGATACTACAGTATATAAAGGATTTTTTCAGGATTAAGTATTTTGGAGGGTGCAAAAGTTTCATTTTTCAGCACAAACCTTCGAGGTGAAAAAACATTCATGAAATACAAAATTAAAGATACAACATAAACTCTCTGATCAAGTATCTTTATTTTTTACATTTACTTAGAAAACGAAACAGCAGTTAAAAAAGAAATCGATTTGTACACTCAATTGCTGTAATTAGATACACAATTCAATACTGCCTAAAATACTGAACAGGATAAAGAAGAGAAGTGCAGAAGTTCTTATGAAGCAGTCCTTAAAGTGGAAAGAACAACAATAAAGACAGTTTTCCCTTTTTATGACGTTTTCAGAAGCTACATTACAGACAGTATAAAATCTAATGATTCATGAGTTTTTGTGCATTTAACAATGTATGAAATCCAGACTATTCTAATAAATTATGGTTTAAACATTGGTTAATAGTAATAACTGAAAAAAAACAGAACATTAAAATGATATTCTAAGTTTTAAAAAGAAAATATGGTTAAATTATCCTTAATTTCAAACTGCCTCTTTACTGCCAAAATTCACAATAAACAACAACATAATTAAAAGGCAGTCTGTGTTGAATTTAATATCTACAAAATCTTGCATTTTAATAGCCTAGTTATATACACTTTATACAACATTTTGAACACAAACTTACATCTTTTACAAAAAAAAGGCATATTATTTTACATGACAATGATTCTAATAACAAATGATTTTCTTGGTTTGTTACAGTTAAAGAAACATTTAAAACAAAACTTTACCTTTATCTAGATATTATACGGTATTTCAATTCACAAACCAGATTCAAAACTTTATCTTGAGTATGGGTGTGTATAAGAGAATGCTAGAATAAAAAAGCCTCCCATTTCTACCTGACACCTGTACAATGGCCTTAAAGTTTGAAAGCATCACTGTTATGGCTTTAAGAATACTGGCACACCTCTTGAAGAAATATTCAGTGCTAAGAAACAATGATGGCAGTGTTGTACATCTTTCCCTTTTAATTCCACTTGAGACTCTTTTGAATAAAAGACATCCAACTAATGTTACATCTTAATGGCTGCATCTGAGTGTACTTGTCTTAGATACTGTACCTCAATTATCTCTGACAGTCAAGTCAAGTCATGACACAAAGTAAAGTGAAGGGAAGTCTGGCTTTTCCAATGATTCATAAAACAGTTAATTTAAATATCTGCACATAAAGCCAGTCGGTGCATTCCCTTAGTGAGACAAGGTACTGTACCTCCTTTTAACACTGGAAAATTGCACTGGAAATAAAAGTGCAATACAAAGAGTCACATTTCAGCTTAAAGAGCTTCAAATACAATGGAACTGAAATTCACTGTTGTTCAGAAATTTAGACAGATTACCTCTGGGACTAGGGTCAATGTGCTAAACTCACAGGAAGGGGTGAAAACAAATGCAGTACTGAGGAATACTTTTGGGAATAACAAAATTCCCCCCACTTAAAAGGCTTAAACATGTTTTATCGTATGCTTCCAAATATATAAAGCAAAGTGGTAGACGGAACTGTAAGAAGACCATTATATGCTAAATTTAAAAAGATATCCCTGTTAATGAACACTATTCTGTGAAAATACTTGTTCTATTGTGTGGTCATTCGGACATACACTACACCAACTGTGGCAACTTCCGCTGGTGTTGTTTCAATACTAACAATCCCTAGGTTACTTTCGCGAAGAGACAAGTGAGTAGGACAATCTGTACTGTGACTTCGGAGCATTTTGTAACTTGTTCTTTTTTTTTCTGCTGAGAAAACGGGCGTGTATATTCACCCACCAAAATTTGAAGAACTCCTATTGAATAATGTGTTAGGCCTCACAGAGCACCAAGTATAATTTGAACAGCATGTGGCATTTATTCTGCAAGGTTATAAATATTTGAAACCCAATCCCACTTCATTCCCATACCAGGAATTTTGTGTTTGATTGAACTGCATATTGCAGATCGCTGGAGACAGGATATTGTTCTGGCCAAGGGGTGTTGAGAGAAAACAGATTCATGTTCCTCAGGCCAAGCAAACACAATGCTAGTACATGTACTGCCACCTAGTACATTCATTTGATTAGAGGGTCCAAATATTTTATTGTTTTAATTTTTCTTCCTGGTTTTAATTTTAGTTCTGAATTTATTAAGCTTTTATATTTGTATGTTTTGAGAGCCTGAGGGCATCAAGCTCTATACCTTAACAATGAATTTTGGAAGTATGACTTTGTAAGGCTAATTACAGTAGGTGTAATGTTCATGAACTGAAAAAAAAACAGTAGTACAGCTTGGCACAAGGCAAATGGATTTTAAAAAAGGTCTGCACCACACTATGCAATTAATGTGGGAATCTACCAGCATTGTTAAGTAAGGCTGCTTGAACACAATTGTAAACATAGAAAAAAACAACTTTAAAAGTACACTACAATCTTGTGAGTGCACATCTCTTGGGTGCAGGTATTTACCAGACCAAAGGTGTGTCTCTTTCAGTGAAATGGGTATAACAAGGCACATTAACTGTGCTAAAAACAGAATGTAAATGAGACTGTATTTATATGACATGTCTGTCAGTGACATGCATACAAATTGTATTAGAGCCACATTATGACAAAAAGATAATTCATCACATTTTGGAGATATTCATTTCTGTATGTTCCTGACTCCTGACAAACTTCTGCATCTTATTTTGACACTCTAAATGTTCCCATAACACAATGCAACACATACTGATACTTTAGAACTCAGCACTAGAGCACTAGTGTAACAGACATTTTAAAAATACTGTTCAGTACAAGGTGGTCAATTTCTGTTCATGTTGGGAAAGTGTGTTTGCATTTTTTTTTCTAGGTCTCTGAAAGCAGCATAATCAGAAGAACAGAGAGCAACTGGTAAATTGGTCCACTTAACTTAGTTACGGTTGAAAAATCCCATTAAAAATACTGACATCCCAGGACAGGAATTGAAGACCTTGATAGTTTACAGAGCTGATAGAGCTTATAGAGTTTATAGAGAAGGTTGTAAACATATCCGGTGTTATTAAACCAAATTAGCACATTTTTATCTTTTAATTATTTTATTAAATTCAAATTTCTTTTGTGGTCTTTTATTTAACATATTTTTGGAATTTGACCTGTATATTCTGCTACCAGTTAAACAGACTTGAAACAAAAAGGTAATCACTAAACTTGTTATTATATGTGAACAGAAATGCATATTTTGAGTTGAAATGTTTCTATTGGCATATCTTATCATTCTCTTGATTGTCAAAGTACCCAGTCATTGCATTTGAGTGACAAAGAATATGTAGAATGGAAGCAACCTTTCCAAGAAAAGTCAAAATTTGCAAATAAAAACCTTAGTTTTTATTTTGTGCTGTCCATGGCTGAGTACTCATATGTATGCTATCACTTGACAGCGATTTAGCACTATCACAATAACAGCATATCCTTTTACAGCCTCCACTTTTGTACCCTTGCGTGCTCTAAGTCTGAGTGCCCTTTAATTTTGTAAAGCAATTTCATTCAGTGCCCTGCTAAGAATTTTATCCTTGCGGCAGAGCAAAGAAAACAGGTGTGCTTTGTAACCCGCTAGGGTTCACACTTCAGTCTGCTGCTGAGTTTCCATAAAAGGGTGATTGACACCGTCGAAGTTAAGCTCATCCACGCTTTCAAAGTCACTAATGGCCGCCTCTGAATCATCAAAGCCGCAGCTGGCAGAAACGTCCGATGAGGAGGCATTGGCAGACAAGCGCATCGTAATGGACATGTTGTCCATGTTATCTGTCTCCAAGTCTTGGCCGTGGCCAATAGTGAAAGTGCTAAACTCCTCCCCGGCTTGGGGGCCCATGGCTTCCAGCTCCGTTGGGAACTGATGAGGCGGGAGGTACTGGCTGGGGTGGAAGCGAGGCCGCTGGCGGCTGTTGGTGCTCAGAGTGCTCTCCACAGAGACAGGCTGGGGTGCAGGCAGGGTGTCGTATTGCTCCTGGTACTCCTCTGGCAGTGGTGGGGGGAGCTGGTCCTGGCTGAGGAACTCTTCCTCCTGCGGTGGAGGATAGTCACTGTCGATGTCATAACCCCCCAGGTAGTAATCAGTCTCCAGCTCTCTGGTGCTGCCAAGGTGCGCAGAAGAATTTTCCCCAGCTTCATAACTTGGCACTTCTTCAATATCAGGCAGTCGGGTGCTGGGCATCCAGTCGGAAGTGTCCCAGTGATAAGCTGCTTAAAAAAAAGAGTTTGATACACATTACTTCCTGTGTGTATTGTTTTTTCCATGCAAGATTAAGACTACATTAAGGCTTGAAATTAAATTTAAAAAAAAAACAACAAACAGTAACCAACAGTTTTGAGTCTTGTCATGCAGCAGTCAAAGAGCATGCAGGATCCAGGTTACATTCCATATTGAGACAGAAGTAAAGCCATACAGTGAGACCAGCTTGATTCACTTAAAGGAAATAAAGACTTGAACTCAAAGTTTAACTCCAAAGTTGTTAACATAGTTTCACAGGGGCATCACAAACTGAAAAGGAAACACACAACACATTTGCCAAACATAGATGGAACAGTACATAAATATCCCAGTTTACAAAGAAAAAACTCTGTATTTGTTAAGTCTTTTGTTTTCTTTGAAGATGTCATTTCAGGAGGCACATTTGAACACAAAGGGGAGGGGGAGTCTTAAAAAGTTACCCATCTGTGTTGCCAAATTGTTCAATATTAAACATCTTATGAGTTTCAACTTTGTAAAAGGGCAAAAACAGGAATTGTGTAAACCAATAAAATTGGAAAACAAAATTGCCATACATTGAAATAACGTAAACAGGCACCTTAAACGAAAAAATAAAGAAAAAAAAGTGAACAGGAGCAGTGTAGCGGATGGTACAGTATTAGAGAATATTGCATGACACTGAGGGTATGCATCCCATTCACTAAGCACCTCTGTAAGAAATCACAGCACAAATGCACCTGCACAGTCAGCAGGACATTGACACATGTTGTTGCTTGCCGAACACATGCAAGTAAAGGCTTGATTAAATAAAAAAAAAAGGGTCAGGGCCACAAGCAACTCAACACAGAAAGAATGGTACCGGAATTGTCACCTCTGTTGTAGTTCTGCCCTTGATCCATAACAGACACTGCCAGGTGGAGAGCAAATAAACCATTTTAATGCCAGAACGAAGCCTCAGTAAATAAAGCAAGTATTGCAAGCCTGACCTGTAAAAAGTCCTCTCTGGTTTCATGATGGCAGGGCAGAAAAGCCATCCGAAAAACAGAGTGGAGGTGACCTTTTCGCTGCAGTTAACTTTGGACGTGTTTACCATTTAAAGTCATAGCTGGTGCAAAACACAGAAGAGTGGAATTATAATTATTTTCTCCACCTTGGATGTTTCAAGGTCAGGTTTAATGAAGTAGGGACAGTGTGGTATTTCTACCTAGGCCTGCTCTTTCCCCTTCTTGGCCCCCAGACCTCTTTGAGAAAACACTGCTTTAACCGTTCATCTAATTTCCTATGCAGTCCCTTTACAGACCACTGGTGAAGGTGGTAAGTCACAGTATGCCTGCCCATACATGGAATGGCACTTTCTGTCAACAAATAATGTGAGAAGCATTTCACTTTTTACAGTCTGATTTAAAAAGATTGAACATACACAGGTATTAGGACAAAAGTCTGCTTTTTTAAGCCCTTAGTACTAAAATTTCAATGCTGAAATGATTTTTAAACCTATTGACTGCTCACACTGAGATCCCCTTTAATTTTTGGTGAAAGACAGTGGCAGATGGTGGTTGCTGCAATAGACTGCAGCTTTTCTATTATTTTTGTGAGCATAAATAAAGGTTATATATACCATAGTGTTACTTCAAGAGGACAGGAGCCTTATTGCTGGACAATCTTTGGTGAAGTTTTGATGCTTTTAATTTAAAGGTGACATTTGGTAAGAGGTGTCAGCTTTCAAATCAAAACTCTGAGGATGCTCTTTCTATTTATATACTTCTTATTAATTGTACATGTATATTGTTTCATGTTTACTTTAATAACAACTACAGAAGGGGTCATGCCTTCTTTGTGTCAACACCAGTGCAGGAGAAGTATATACAATTACTGTGGGCATATATCAGCTTTGAAATAATTTTCAGAGATGACCCAGGCATGGTGAAATATGAAAAATGTAAAGTAATGAAAATTGATAATAGAGGGATGAAGGCATTCCAGATTTTGCAGAAAAAATACTGCTTATATGTTAAACAGCAGGGTACATTAGATTTAAGTACATTCTGCAACCACATGCAATCTGAAGCAGTTCTAGCAGCTCTTGATTGAATCTAGCTGCTGTAATCTAGGAAGGCATAAACAGTTCAGTAAAAGAAGCATAACATTTAATAAGATGAGCAGAAGCATAAACCTTTGTTTTGAGTACTTGCATGCAACGATTAAAAAAACAAACAACCAGGCTAACCTATTTTCAATGCCGCTTCATAAAATTGGAATTAATACCCATTTTTAAGAACAACTTTCCTTTTCCTCATTTGAGATGCAGAGATTTCAGGAAATATGTGTTCGCGTCTTCATAAAAAAAACTCTTAAAAAAGCAAATGGAAGAGAAGTTCAGGGTACCTTCATTTTCGATTGTGTCAACTGCATCATTGACCAGTCGAATGACAGTCACTATGGAAGCTTGTGGGGGAAAAGTGGAGGAGAGCAAGAAGAAATAAAGTTGGAAACAGGGTTTAGAACATCAGTCAAAAGTACTAAAATAGCATCGTATATCAACAAACTGCTCAAGGACGTGATTTGGAAACCCAACATTTCATGTACTCAAATCAAAACAAAATCAAATCAAAGTTTATTTATCAAATGCACAACAATACGGCGTGCAGCAGTAGTTGCTGGCAATGAAATGTCCTTTTCTGCGAGCTCACAAAAATCACAAAAATTCACAAAAACACAAAAATCACAAAATTGAGGCTTTATTTTTTAAATTGAATAAAACTCAATGTGAGTAGAGCTGTTATGTGTCCATGGTGTATGCAATATATACATGTAGTGCAGTTATGCTGAATAAAGTGAGAATTGTGTGTCCATGTAGCCGTTACAGGTGATTTGCTAAGGAGCTACAGGTTGGCTATTTAGCAGTCTTATTGCCTGGAGGTAGAAGCTGTTCCGTAGTCTGTTGGACTTGGACCGAATGCTTTGGTACCGTTTACCGGACGGTAGGAGGGAATGCTCTATGCATAGCAGTGGTGCCATGCCATGCCCTTCCATTAAATTCCCAATTCCTTTTCAGAGCTTGTTTCTTAAGTGTGAATTCTGATGTTTTCAGTTTGTTCCTTCTACTTGTCCCCACATTATGAAAAATAAAGTCTGCTTTATTTCTACTGACATTCCAGACTTTTACACACTTCACACAGGTTCAGTTTTACTGTATAAAGAAAATGGAACCTTGGAACTTTTATCGTTCCTCTTCTTTCCTAACATTATTTTGGAACACAGGATAAAAACAAAGTAGAGAATTAAGAAATTGCCAAAGGCAACCTTGTCACATTTGCCATGCTACAGGTGAGAATTTCCCATTTTATTAGGTGCAAAGACTTGTACACTTCCACTTCCAAACATGCCTGGAATGTTTGAAACTAAATAAACTGCAATAACTTCCATTTTACTTATCTCAGAATTTGACACACACACACACACACACACACACACACACACACACACAAAACAAGATGCATTTGACTCTGCTGTCTTAAACATGCTTTTCCTTAGAATCCTCCCACACAATCCTGTTCTCTGCTATCTGGTAAAAGCAATGTTTTTATATTTTATGTAAAACATCAAAGCTGCTTGTGGTCTGTGATGCAGTGTTTGTTCATATTTGTACTACAGGCTTGTCATTTATGTGTTCAAGGAACAATTCAGACTTACTGTATCAATATTTTATTTATTGTATTACAGTAGGTCAATGTAGACATCTGTAAAAGTACTATCATTTCTGCTTGGCATGAGTAAAGATACCTTAGCTGTCAACATATCATTCTGGCATTTTGAAAGAATTGTTAGTGAAAAGAAAGCAATTTATTTCCCAGAACTCTATTAAAACATTGATTAATTGTTAATCTTCAAAACCTAGGTGAATTCAAGTAAATCTGGGTTTACTATGTCTGCAAAGCAAGCAAGTAAAAAACACAGACAAGCAAACCAGCAGAAACAACAATTTCCTCACAGCTTTTTGTTGTTTCAAAAACAATCAACAGAACCTCAAGCACTGATGTCTTAATGAGGATTATCTGTGCTCACTCAGTAAAGTATTACAAATGCCTCTTTGCAAAAATCCTAGCACTTAACCACTCACTGTTTATGTGGTTTTCCCCGTAATGTAAACAAGCAACTATACTGTAAATGAGTGTGGGTATCATTTACTGGGGTTTATTTCCAGCAGGGTACCTCAGCATGAAGGCAGACAGCAAAAACACAAAGTGGCATGTATCATTTTAAACCACAAGCTACTGCAAATAAGATCATATTCTATTTTGTAACTACAGTATGTGCTCCCATAATCTTGGAATTAAATGCCTCTTCCTGATACCTTTACCTTATTTTTTATAACTAAATTTCATTCTGAAAACCTTTTTTCTAAAAATATGTTTTGGAACAGAAACAAGCTTTTTAATGCTCATGCTTACATTAAAGCACTGGCAATGCTGTTCAGATGATTTGAGCTTGACAGATGCATGTCACTACAGGAAGTTCATTTAGTGAGTAAAGAAGAGTAATGTGAAATTAAAGACAACAAGTCTAGTGGCTTTTATTCAGTGTGACTGACAGATTTCCTCATTATCATGGCCTTACCAAACTCTATCCATTCCTTTTAAATTTGATGGACAAACAACTTTAGAAATCCAACAGTTAAGAGACATACTGTACAGTACTGTATCAAAAACAGAAAAATAACTCTCTGTTGGAATTTTGAGCATAAATCTACTATACCTTTGTGCTACAGGTATCCATCCCAAATAATCTGATTTGCGATCCACGTTTTACCCTCAAAAATAATTTTGAGTACTGTTTGAATTGTTTTATTCAAACCTTTGACTGCGAATCAGCCTGTGAATGCTGAAAATAATAAAATTGCCCGTGTGTTGCTGACACTTGGCAACTTAAGTGAGAATACATAATGCTTGGAAGAGGTGTTAGTGGGACCAGCAGGGGGCGCTCACCCTGCGGTTCATGTGGGTCCTAATGCCCCAGTGTAGTGACGGGGACACTATACTGTAAACAGGCGCCGTCCTTCGGATGAGATGTAAAACCGAGGTCCTGACTCTCTGTGGTCATTAAAAATCCCAGGGCTTTTCTCGAAAAGAGTAGGGGTGTAACCCCGGCGTCCTGGCCAAATTTCCCATTGGCCTTTATCAATCATGGCCTCCTAACAATCCCCTTCTATGAATTGGCTTCATTACTCTGCTCTCCTCCCCACTGATAGCTGATGTGTGGTGAGCGTTCTGGTGCACTATGGCTGCCGACGCATCATCCAGGTGGGGCTGCACACTGGTGGTGGTGGAGGGGAGTCCCCATTACCTGTAAAGCGCTTTGAGTGGAGTGTCCAGAAAAGCGCTATATAAGTGTAAGCAATTATTATTTTTATAATACTAAGGCACCCTCTTATAATATTATTGTGCTTCTGCAGGATTTTTGTACTCACTAAACCGTTAGCTCCATGCATTCCTTAACGGATGTTACTACTCTATTCTCAAAGCATCATGTTCATTTAATTCCAGCTCAGATTAAGTTTCCTGAACAAATTCAGAGAACTGAGCAGCACTCTTCTCCTGGAAAAGATTCTAAACTGGGGGAGTCCAGTCCAGTATCTTGTTAAGACTAACCTGTTAAAGATCTTGCTATACAAAAGGTTTAAGACAGTTATACAGTTTTATTTTAAATGAACATTTGGATAACCCTTCCATCCATTATTTCCATGACCGAGAGTTGGATGAAGCAGATAGAAATAGGGTGGATTAAGAATTTATTCGGCGATTGAAATTACCAATGCTTTGGATGAAAAAATGTTTTCTGCAAAATAACCAGAAAGCTTATTGTGGTGACAGTAGTAGTGTTCTGCCACATTTTGAAATCTTTACAATTCCCTTTCACTATTAATACAGAATGATCTTTGGTGTGCATATAAATTAAAAGCTAGACATTTAAAAAGAAAATACAAAAAATGAATCCAAGCTACACTACTTAAGAGTATTTCACTGCAATTCAATAATTAATGCCACAAGATCATTGCCAGTACATTTGCATAGACCCAGGAAAAGAATAACAATAAATACAGTGTAATATGGTAAGTTATTCAGTGTGGGTGCTGCACATTTTCAATAAACGTAATAAGCAACCCTTCATCACATACTGTATGAATGACAATTACCTTTCCAGTTCTGAGAATTGCTGTATACCCTATAATATACTGCTACAAAAGTGAAGAGATGGGCTGCAAACAATGTGTTTCCTTTATTTTAAAGTCAAATCTTTGTCATTTTACAACATTCTAGAGGAAATAGGCTTCTACAGTACTTTATGAACTACCCAAACAAATCATAAACAAAAGTAAGTTTTGGGATATTTAATAACAAGTGCTGTTAAAATGTATGACTACAGTATGTCGTATTATACAAAGCTGCCAGAAGTCCAAAAAAGAAAACTAATAATGCATTCATAAACTATATTTGTTCTGTTTTCAGAAAAGGAACTTATGCTGTAGAACAATGAATGTGTAACAGAAAAATTATATAATTATTTTCCAGTTATTTATTTCACAACAAAACAGATGTACAGAAATATATACATCGATTCACACTCTGACGAACCCTATGATTTCAATAGATGACAACTTCAAATTAAATCAACACAAAAGATACTCAAAAGTAATACTTTCTATTTATTTTTCAATTAAAAGATACTTATAGTGTAGTTGCAGCATGTTTAAGCAGTAAAAACAGTATTACTGTATGTGTTCCAGTGTTATAGGAAAAAAACAACAAGGTACGGCTCTTGTGTATATAAACACAAGATTTTTTATCAGAATATACTTTTATTGCAAATATTTACTTTTCATTTATTCCTTTGAAGCCTTAGAAGACTTTTAAGCAATTTTAACAGTTTGGTCTATTTTGTAATACAGCAGATAGACATATAGTTTACTGCTGTGCAAGTCTTATATGCAAATACTGTAGTATTTACAAAACACCTATCTTAGAAACGGCAACAGTTTATTGAATGTCCACATAAGTGTTTTCTAGTTTTCTAATAGCTCAGTTATTAACTCAAGCTTATTATGGGTGAAATTAAGCCCAATTTGTAATTTAGCAATCTTCAAATCAATTGAGCACAATCTCCAAAACCTGATCACTGCTTAAGGCTAATTATTATATATTGCCACTATACTCTGTTGTAGTATTTATCCATCACATTTACCAATCAAATCTAATCGATTAATGACCAGGTGCACATTATTACTTGACATATTTGTTCCTCACTACACTAAAAGTAACAGGCTATTGTTCTGACTGTAGAACAAAATGGCTTTGATTTCAGTACTGGTTCACCACAGACTTCTATTTCTACAAAAAGACAGAAATACACTGAGCAGATCAAGTAGGGCAGTACAGTAAAAAGTTGAACATGAGCACAGCTCTGTTGAGTCAATCATTCACACAATCAAGTGCCAGAATCACAAAGCAAATTCACACTGGCTTTTCTGTGCTCAACAGAATAAGCAAAAATACTCTAAAATACCTCTGTGTTTGTATCAGCACGGCACAGACCAATATTAAACACACTACTGCTTATCAAGGTATGGAATGCAGATGAGGGTCTTACCATTGTCATCACAGGAGTCAGATTGGAAGGAGCTAAGGGATTGCACCTCTGAATTGCTGCCTTTGTTGCTTCCTGAAAAACAAGTCACTTCTTCCACCATGTCTACTACTTTTCCTGAAACAGCATTAAGAAATCAGAATTAGTGTCAAATGTATGTCACACTTAGTTACTTGCTAAAATCCTATGTTCTAATTATAGCTAAACTTTTTTAGAGCCATGCCAGAGGAGCATTTCTACAGATCCTCATGCTCCCCTTTCAGGTACAGAAATCACTGCTCGAAAGCCAAATCTTAAAATGGTGATTCTAAATTGGATAGGTAATCAACAGTACAATGGAACAACAATGATGGAAAATATCAAACTGATATCTGAGTGTTAGGAATAAGAAATGGTGCCTTCTTGTTTTATTTGAATGATTTTCTCTGCAAAAGAATATCCCTAAAATGACTGCAATGCTGCCCCTAAAAGTTTTATTTACAGATTGGAGTTTCAAATTCTTAGTACTGCAGGGAAATTCTTGCCATTCTTCCTGCCTTGCCATGTCACTTTAAACTTTTTTTGGACAGTATGTGCAACAATAGAGCATTATGTTAATAAAAATGAGTCAATATATAGCACTGGGTAGTTATTTGACATTCCTCAACCACACACTTCTTCACCTAAATAACTCCTTGCCATGCTCACGTAATATATGGGTACTTCATCTACCAGCCCCATATTTAATGTGCAAGCCACAGCACAATCACCAATATTCCAAAGACACACCATGTACTATATATGCACAGCTCTGTATAAAGTATATCACACTGCCAGGACACTTATTCTGCCAAGACACTGTACAGTATAACATGAATGTTTTTGTAGTATTAAATGTGGTCAGTAACACATTTACCTTCCTTTATTTTCCTTCATGCACAAATAGTAAATGCAGCTACAATCTGAGATACCAATATTGATTGAAAACTACGGCATTTCCCAGTTCATTATTTTTAAAACAATCTACTTTGATCACGATCATGTCAGTTTCATATAGCCTAGTGAAATGCAATGAAGTTGTAGTTCAAAGTCCATGTAGAGGTCATCTACTCTAATAAGAGTGAATTGATTTTTCCCTGCTTCACATCTTCCATACAATTTCTTGCATTTAATTAATGACACCAGCAGTGAAAAAATTTGAAGCTTTTTTTAAAAAAAAATGGATGGATTTGTTTCATCTGTTGAATCGTGATAATATTGTTACCCCTAGGTAAGCTTCTCCTTTGCATTTCAAACCACAGCAAAAGCAAATCTGTAACCACAGATAAACTATTTGCTGTCATACTGATGGTAAGTGATTGTATTTCCATTTTTGTTATCATCAGAGTATCTTCTCAGGGTATTTCTATAATGTATTAAAAATAAACCCAAGAAGGTGGCTCTCCCATTTTTCCCTGTGTACTGATTTCATTTGCGATTTCAATTTGTTAATTTAGATCAGGTGGCATAATGTACTAAACCATCTCTGTTGTATTTATTCTGAGGTTCAGCCTTTGTGTCTGCCGCATTATAAAGCTTTTTTATTAAGTGCTTTATCTAAAACAAAGGAACATGCAGAAAAAAAAATTGATCTTATATTTTCTCAAATTATATCACAATGTAAAGAATGTCCTTTTTTAAATACACGCAGATGCGTTTAAGCAGCTGAAACTAAAACTAAACTAGAAAGACATGTTTTGCCATGACCACTCTTACCAGAAGGCCCAGCACAATGGGGCCACATTTTGAAATGCTCACATGACAAATCCTGGCTCCACATCCCATTTTGTTTCGTATCTATCCCATTACTCAATTTAATTCTCCTTCATTCTCACGTTCTCAGACGTTTCATTTTAAAAGACTTTATTAAATCATTTTTCCCCATGGCGTCTCACATGCTGCCACTCAAACTCACCGTCAGAGTCTGCTTCCCAAGCCGTCTTCCGGATGGAGTCGCAGTCAGAGCGGCAGGGGGAAACAGACGGGAGGTTGGGGGCTACGCTGCACACCACCACACCCCTCCTGGTGGTCAGAATCCGAGGGGACTCAGGGTGGAAGGTGGTCATTTCCGTGTGCTCCACACCAAGGCTATCCACAATCTTGTCCAGGTTGCCCCGAGAGTCACTCTGAAAGCAGGGGGTGTAGGCCATGGGTCTCACCGGCACCTGCGGGGGCCCTCCAGCCTCCTGGTAGAGGTTGCACGGGTCTGCGTTGTTGCGCACGCTCTTAAACTGAATCCCGTTCGCCTTGTTGAGCAGCGCTGCAGTGGCGGGGTCCTGCACCAACGTGATGTTGTTGCGGGAGTAGTTCTTGCGGAAGACCTTTTTGCGGAAGGCGATGAAGAGAATGATAAGGACGAAGATAACGAAAAGGACGACCGCGATTCCAATCAGCTCCTCTTTGCCCACGTAGGAATGGCCTGCCTGAATGTTAGGTACCACCACTGGCCTGAGTCCACAGTACTGTCCTACATACCCTGCCGTGCAGTTGCAATAAAAAGCACCAAATGTGTTCACACACACTCCTCCATTCTCACACTCCTCTCTCTGGCACTCATTGATATCTTCTTCACATCTGCAAGACAACATCAGAATTGCTTGTTGAGGTGTTTGCATTTCAGAGTCTTCTGTATAACTGAAATCTAATAAACCTCATTCAGCAAACCTGGCTGATCATACATGTTTTCTTGCCACCCCTGTGGTGAAAGACACTAAAATCAAGTCGCACTAGAAGAGTAAAGATTGAATCAATAAGAATTATTTAGTTCAGAAGAGTTGATAAGCTGAGGCAAATTTTATGTTACTGTAGTATGACGTTTGAATGACCTACTTTCAATTTAGTCTGATAAAATAACTGTTGAGGAATGTGCCTTTTAAAGGGAAGATAACATAACTACAGTACATTAAAATACTTAAACTACAACCACAAAATACATATTTATATACAATTCCCAGTTCTGAATGATTAAAAATAACATTTGCTTTATACTGTTCAAAAATGGCATTGAACAAGGCAATGCAATATTACACTGCCATCTTCTGGCACTCAAATGTATTTCCATATTCCAAAAATAAATCACATTTCCAAATCTCCAAAAGAACGAAGCTCTATTTTATGTTGTGTATATGACATGATCTTATATTGCTTTTATACTGTATCTTATCTTTCACTGTCATACTACATTTTTTCAATTACTAAATTGATGTGAAGCAATTAAGTCACAGAACTCTCATGTTTTTCATTCTGGACTGAATTACAGGAAGGGAGAGGATTTGCATCTAAGGCTTTAACGTATTCAATTTTGAACGCAAGCTGTCAGAACATGACTGAATCACCAACTTACGTGAGTCCAGTAAAGCCTCTTCTGCAGCTGCACAGGAATGCATTTCCTATAGGTTTGCAGGACCCTCCATTCTGGCAGGGGTTAGGGACACAGGAAGTGATTTCGGTTTCACACCTCACACCAGTGAACTGTGACGTACAAATGCACTCAAATCCTGCACAGGACAAGAAATAGTTGTTAACAAATCAGCCGACTCCAAACTGTTTTCACTTGCAAAGCTTCCAATAATACTATATTCCTTCTTGAAATCTGCAGTATGGACACATCAGTGTTTTTCCATAGCACTTCGTTTAAAAGAAGGTTACTACTTGAAAAGAAATCGTGGATAGTATGTAATCTGGGTTTAAAACAATTGTTTTTGGCCAGGAGAGCTATAGGCTTAAACTCTAAAGAACAACATTGACCTAAGCAGTCTGCATAAAAGACATATTTGCATTGTTATGACTCTCTCTGGGTAGCAATTGGTATTTGCCTATTGATTTGTGTATATACGTCAGACATTGCCAGCTGTGGCTGGCGTGAGTAAGACAGAGAAATGCCAGTACAAATACAACACAATACCTCTGGGAAATAAAAAGTGAAATGTCAGTAAACATAATAAGAAAGAGAGATATCTGAATACTATTTATCAGCAGCACACACATTTACCTGATTGGACAATAAAACAATCACAGTACTTCAGATAACCTTTGGCAGGGTTGTGTCTGCCAAAATTGACAACACCAACAACAATAATAATATCTTCATGGCTTCAAGACAAAGCTTTCCATGATGGAAAAACAAATAAGTAAGTGACACAATGCTGCATTGGGAGTTAGAAATGCATGCCATTTCAGTCAAGACAATGACATCCAAGAATGACAATAACTCTAAATTAAAAATGCCAAGGTACTATGAGAACCAGCTTGCTTTACAAGTTGTTCACTGACATACAACAAAACCCTTTACATTCAGGTTTAAAGATAAGAGTTCTGATCTATCAAAGGTCTCCTCCCAAATCCAATTATACGAACTACATAGAACAACAAAAGTATAGTCATACTGTACTCAGAGCTATGGAACAATGCCAGCCATTGTGCTGTAATGTGCATTTTTGTTGTTTTGAATAACTGAGAATTAAACAATGACTGTGGGATATCAGGGAAAATCTTATTGGGTATAAACACAGGAATGTGATATAATGTGATATAGCTTTTATTCTGCATAGTTACAAGTAGACTATACATTTAAGATGAAACCAGTATGATACAGGAGCTACAGCCCATTAGGAGAAAAATCTTTTTTCCATTTTATAGAAAGTACTTAATGCACTGAATTTAAATATCAAAAACTCAATTATAAGTCCACAATGCTGGTGCAGTCAGAATTGCATTATTGCTGGGAATCAGAATCATATTGTTCCTTTCTAAATCATGCACTACTACAGTTTGTTTGACAAAATTTACCTGTAATTACCATAGTCATACCATAGTTATTACTAGCTATTTATTTCCGATCAATATAGTGAATTAAGCTTTTATAAAATGTACAATAAAGCTTGAGTGCAGGGTGTAATGTTAGTACTTTACACTCAACATGCAATCTGGAATAGAAAATCTTATCTAGAACAATCTTAATTCATCTACGAACCAAACAATCAATTTTTAACAAACTGAAGAGTTTACTGCACAACAAAGTGATAATATAGACAAGAGGTCACTATCCAGGTTGTTACCTTGCTGTCTCTCATCAAATAAATAGTTTTCTGCTTGTATCAAAAGAAATGCCACATTCACAGAAGCAACAACATTTTTAAAAAATGTTTTCCATTTCAGAGTAGCAAAAACATAAAGCAAATAAAGTAAATCTCTGTGATTAACACTTCAAAAAGTCACCTCTCTTTTCCCATTCCCAAAGATATACATTTCTTACTTCTACCTTGAGTGCACATAAGAAGAGATTGAGTTATCATTTCTGAAGATACACACAACACATTTCACCGATAATAGTTTTCTAACCCATCTTTAGATATATAATTTAATAAAAAAGTACAGTTCTTTTTCCTTCTCTTTTATGTTTGAGATGGTTATCAGGGTTTGCTGATGCACCACGACACAACAGTGTGTGTTTTAATTTCCTTCAGCAGTCTCCCTCGGGTTCTATCTGAAATCCTTATCGACAGCAGATCTGTAAGTACGATACCTGAGTAATGAAGTTTGGAAGCCCTGTCACAAGGAGTAATGTTGCGCTTTGGGTATCAGTCGAAACCTTATTTTAGCACACTGCTTCTCATTCCTGAAGTTCAACATCTCTTGTATTGCAGCACCATTATAACGAGTCTTCTGCATTATAAATAATAGTTTTTTGTCAAGTTTGTATTCTTTTGGTACAAACTGTATAATTCAGTACCAGACATACACCTAATCTGAAGGAAAGGGAAAGTCGAAGAATTAAATGGGCAATGGTAAATATGCAAGAGTATAAGAAATATTTACTGTATACTGTATGGTCGTTTTCTGTATTCATACAGAAAAACATCAAGACCAAATTGTTTCTTCATACTCTGGGTAGATTGCACACCAATAATATTACTGAGCACTGTCACTTTTTACATACTATAACACCTGCAAAATCTATACAGAATTATTGTTGCAGTGTCAAACTGGCACCATTCTAAAATGACATTTAAAAAGAAAATATTGTTGTAATTATTATTGATAAGATAATTATTGTTGTAATTATTATTGATAAGATAATTAACCGAAGCAAATATTAAGAATTCAATACATTTTATGAGTGGAAGTATTTTCTATTATACATTTATAACTTTTGCTAAGATATTCAGACTTGGGTCATGTGACAAACCAAGCTAGACAGAGAGACTCATACAGATAATATTCTTAAGTATGAAAGTATATAACTGAGAATGAGTCACTGAAAGACTGAAACTTGATATTTCAAGAGGATGTTGTGTGATGTTCCAAAAATAAATATACACTGAAGGATAAACCAACTTTTTTTTAACATTTTTAGTCTGAAAAAAAAAAACTTGACATATTCCACTGCCTTCAGCTATAAGGCTGGGACTGTTAAAACTATTTATATAACTTCAAAAGGGATAAAAACCTTCACAGATATTCTGTATTTAATCAAAACCTTTTTTATTCTGTACATGTGTGCATCACCAACATTCTCAGCATGTACCCAAAATAATTAAGAAGAGAATGAAAGAGAAAATTAGAAACATCTGGCTATCACCCTCATTTCGATTTTTATTAAAAGATAGGCAGCCAAATAGCCCAAAGCTTTTCTAATCACCTGGTGTGGTTCCGGATATTTACTAATGAAGACCTTGCCATGTCTTTCAAAGGAATGAAAAAAAGGTTATCTATTTCCAATTTGGTTCACTGAAAACAAATCTCGGCATATTATTACCAAAATGATTATCTTTAAATGTAGCACTTACAAAAACACACAAACAAGCTAAAAAAAGAACAAGAACAAAAAGTTAAAATAAATAGGGTTATGAGCACCATTTAATGCTTCCAAGTAATGTAATTCCCACTACTTACCACCAGATGGAAGGCTTGCACAACTTCCACTATTCTGGCATGGAGTTCTTTCACATGCATCAGGGTACAGCACACAGCCAAGCTTCAGCTCCGTCAGACCAACCACTTCTGCATAGTGGCTCCGCTTGTTCTGAAGGGGCAGTTCATTGTTGTTGAGGACTACTGAGTCCAAGCACCCCTGAAAGCCCCCAAGAACCAAGGGACTCTTCTTGTCGGTCAGACTGCGAGCATTGGGAGGCTGTACTTGGGCACCAAAGAAGATGGAGCCATCAGGCCCCAAAGGCTGGAAATGTAGGGGTGCCCTGCGGCGCTCCACATAGATGTCATCTAGTGACAGACTCGTGAAGTTGCGATTGAGCTCAAGAAACACTGTGTGCCAGTTTCCGTCATTAATAGGCCGTCCAGAGATCACTAGGATTCCAGGGCTGTTACCACAGTCCAACTGGAACCACAGCTTGCCATCCTCAATCTGTCAAAGGCAATAAAAGATACAAAGGAGGAATTTTAAACACTCTGAACAGATCACAAGCAAGGAAGCTTCACTGAACACAGTTGGAGGGGCCTCTTTGCTGATATTTACAATTGAAGGCAGCATGGAACACACTGGTTTCAGGGTGGTGAGATGTACAGTTTAAAGTAGGAAATCAATGTTTCTGACAGCTTTAAATAGATCTCTGCTTAGGCAAACAAGTAAGGAACATGTATTTAAAGAGTGGTTTAGTGGTTTGAGGCTTAAAAAGAAAACCTTGTTTGTCCTTTTGTTTTGTGTAGATGCACATCATATGTTTAAAAGATTACTGCCAAATTATTTGGAATCTTCCCACAAGGAATGAAATCGACTGACAAAATTGATTTATGCAGTTGATTTATTTCAATTAATTAGAGTATGGAAATTGAACACAAACATCCCTGTTTTGAATAAACTACATTTATGTCCTTTTGCAAACTTAAGCCTACATACTTTCAGGAATTCAATGTGCAAAGAAAAAAAAGCACTTCTCCTTCATTTCTTAACTTAATTTACTGTTCATTTTTTAAATGTAAACACTTGCAAGTCACCTAATTCCAGCTCCTCTATTTCTAAGATATATAGTGTGTTGACTATTAAGAATTTAATGGAATATACACCTTTAGAAAGAACTAATTGTACACTAATCAAAAGCCTTGTAAATACATAAACATTTATTATGCTGGAAAACAATCTTATTAATAAGCTTACATATCTTTCTTATCTGCTGTTTATATTTTAAGAAGGACATGTCAGTGGCACCAACTTCTTGTTTGAACTGAATTTATGAGTCTTCAATCTTGATTTATTCAATGTATAGCACTGTGACAGTCCTTGTTACAGCAGTTAATGATCTGTAGATAAGCGCCGACATTAGTTCTCACTCTATATTAACATTCTAGAATCTATGCGCTGATTTTGACTCAGGTGCACAGCACTATCGTGTCGTTTAATGCTTTGGTGCTCATCTTTTTGAGATAGGTATAATTATTCATGGACCAACAAAGCTATGACCTGCACAGAATTCATTTTATATGAGAATTTTTGGAGGTGTTATTATTCGAATTAGTTACTGCATGTAGTCAGCATGAGTTCAAGGCACCCACACATAAGAATCACACATTTTCCTTCTGCTGCTCCTTTTTTTAAAAAAACCTTTTTTTAATAAACCCGTCTAGCTGTTTATCTTATTGCAAGATGATTCTGAGCTGTAGTACTAAGGAAAATTTGATGTATACAGCACTGTACATGCAGCCTAAAACTGCTAAAACCAGGTAAGGGAAATCTTTACATTACCACGTATTTTTAGTATCACTCCAATAAAACAGCCTTGTAAATGACCTCATATTAACTTCATCATAGTGAATACTTCATTATGTTTTTTTGTCCATATATTCAAGAGGAAGTCATAATGTAACAAAAAGGAATGGACATCTTAGTCAAAATAGTAAAAAGAGACACCACGAAATCTCGGGGTGACCTGTTAATCCATTGTCTGAAGCAAAAATCTCTAAATGAAATAAAATACGTCAACTCCCATTGCAGCTCTCTGTTTTTTAATAGAGCAAAAATACTCTCGCATTTAAAAAACACTTATGGATATTAAAATGAATATGATGAGTATTACGAATAGTGTATGTCGTCTTGCTGGTTGTAGTTGATTTTTAACAGAAAAAAATAACACACAAAGACATGTAAAGACGAACATGTACATCACAGTTCAGAAAACTTTCCAGGCACATTTTAATTTTTTTTGCCAGCGCCTGTGCTTCTATCACTAGCTTAACAGCCACCTGTCACAGTGATTTTACGTGGCATTTTTTCTAAGCCATCTAAAGCTGTTGCTGCTTATTAACATTACAGATAGACTACTGACATTTTTTTTTATCTTACCAAAACCACGTTTTACATCCAAAAATGAACATTAAAATATGGTGTGTGCTTGTAATATTGGTCAGTCCGTTATTTTTTTTTATTATTAAGCAGAAAACATTGCCTCCACTCCACGTGTGACATTCACTATATAATATATTTATGAAAAAGCCTTTTATTGTGCTGAAATATCAGATAACTATACATAGTGTTCTGCAAAGGTCAAAAATGATCTGAATGTATGAAAACGTGTTTTTATGCTGAAATGTGATGCGCATGCCAAAGTCACTCACAGACCTTCAGTCTAACTGTGACCCCAGAGTAGAGAGGAGAAGAAGCTCTCTGGATAACATGCTTGTCTCTGTGCTTAAAGGTCAATTAAGCAGAAAAAGTCACTGGGACCAGCTCCATCTGTCAACACCTCAGCATGTCATGTGGGAGAAGACTGGTGCTAAAGGCTCTGTACTCCTAATGGGAAGGCCAATGGAAGTACTGTGCCTGGAGTTTGAAGGGTAAAGCTCACAAATAAAGTGTTTGTGGGATAAAAAGGAGGCAATCCACAATGTTAAATACAGAGCAGAAACCCAATCTGCTTAAAAACCTGTCTATGTAAAGGAACATGATGAACATAATATATAAAAATAAACGGATGAGTTGATTTACAATTTCGCCGTCTGTAGCACAGCATTTGTGAATAAAACATCCTTGTAGATGCAATCATGCAAATACAGTAGTCAAACTGTTATTTTTAACAATGTTTTTTCTGTTTATAGTGTAACAGAGAAGTGTGAGGATTGTTACTTTGGTTTAATTGCAAACATTTTATAGACTAAAAGAAAGGGTGTCACTAAAATTATTTAACAGCAACATTTAAGAATCTTGAGAAAAATCTGTAAAGTACTTTTTTAATCTAAATGCATAGGTATTACAATACTTTCATGTACATTTCCAACATTTCTTCAGGCAATGGCCATCTTCCTTTACATCTATTCTGGAATGTGTCAAAAGTTGCTATAAACGAAATGCACAGTGAAGTCTATTTGTGATTTATACCTAAGAAGAAACATGTACATTAAAAAACAGCTGAGACCACATACCTTCAGTATGGTGCAGGGCTCTGCCCTGGTATACATGATAATGCCTTTACTCTGCAGAGTTCTCAGGCGAAGGCCTAACCTTAGCTCATCTACTTTGCTGCCATCTGACACACGGTATTTAATATAACTGTTTCCAGCGAAGCTCAGAGATGTGTGGCCTGCACAGACAAAATGCAACTGAGGTGTGAAACAACATAACCTCCGCTCAACACCCTAAATTAAACATGACATTTCAGTTACAAATTTGTCAGACATGGCTGTGTTTGAGACCCACTGAGGCAAGAATTACTCCGTATCAAAGGTATCCAATAGTAACTTGCCACTTACTCAGAAAAGGAAATAGCAGTTACAAGGGAAAATAAAATCTTGTAGTTCAAAATTTGTAATCCAAAATTATCTACAGTACACGTTTACAAAGAAATGTTTTTTGCAACAATGACAAACAACAATTCAATCAGCAACTGCACTTATTATAAAATCACATTTATATTAGCAATAAAAAACAGCTTCCCATACAGACACCCTATGCTGTTTTCCTGTGGAGCTGTTTATTGACTTGAACAGACTGTGACCAATGAGCAAACAATCTGTTTGCAGCAGGATCTCTTCAAATATGTGTTAGCAAACTCCTGACAAATGATTTTTTTTTACTGAACCACTACGAATAGTTAGTGTTCTCTTGATATGAAGTAATTTATGGGCTTTTTAAAGAAGACCTGAATAAGCAGCTGAGTACAGTTACTGTGACTAAAACACAGTTCATTAGGTCAAATATTCTGTTTGGGGGTCTTTGACCTTGTACGACAAATGACAGTTTTTTTTAAAGCGATTTTGGAATGACGACAGTGGTTATAGTTTACCCTTAAAGACTGATGAACTAATCATTCTGATTGCTCAGAAATCAAAGTTAATGGATAATGTCTCCCTCCAGAGGAAATACTGCACCGCGCTCTTCAGGCTCACCTGCACATTCTCCCAGCTTGCCAGGGGGACACTGGCAGATATAGGGCCCACGACTCACTGCACCACCAACGCACTGCATATCACCTGGGCACGGCTGATCATCACACAACTCTGAAGAGCCTGGGCAACTTCCACCTAGGAACAGAACACAAACCCCAATGAAATCCACGTCAGAGAAAGCCCTTGCTGTGTACCTGTGCTACACCAAGCAGGCACTTGTTTTTCCATTCCACCACTACTGTATATTGTAACTCATACGGCCTCCATTGCTTGCGAGAGCCGGCTTACCAGAGCGGTGACGTCACGGCCCTTCCCTGTGAATAGCAGGGCCCGCAGCCGCTGGGCTGAAGGGAGACTTCCCTTTGGCTCAAGAGGCTGGGTCCCTGTCAAGTGATGCCGGAGGCCCGGGTTCGAGTCCCCGACGGTGGGTAGCCGGCCTGATGCGGCGGCGGCGGCGGCGAGGGCGCCCACGTGAACCCCGTAGCGTTACATTGGTGTCAGAGTGGGATTGGAACCCACGCCTCCAAGGGAGACTGCGATATTTTGTTTTTTCATTAGTGAAGCCGTTTTCAAAAATTAAGTACTTCAAAATAATTATTCCAAAAATCTATCCATACATTATATACAGTTGATAAAATATTTTCATTTAGATAGACAAGTACTTTAAATATATAGTGTAGAGAAAAAGGTCAGAAGCAGTTTCATAGCTACGCTTATTGATAAGACAGGAATAACAGGAGGATCTAGAGTAGCCTTAAAAGCATCCCTATAGAACATCTGATGTTTTTTATAAGTCTGAATCGAACATTTAGCCCCATCTTCCTCCACAAATGCTCCAGGCATCATCATCTGGCTGCCTTTAGAGAATACAGCTCATTTGTGTACAGGGGGAAGAATGAGCAAAAGAAAACAGACAAGTCTGGGAGTTACAGTAGAAGCTAGACCTTCAAAAAATTGTGTTAGCAGCTTATAAAAAGCAATAGTATCCTAAAAGACAACAAACGGCGCTAAATTAAGTGGGGGTTTAGGGATTTTCAGTCCAAAAAGTTGATTTGCCAGTCAACAGAAGACTATAGTCCATTTGCTATCAGTAGAAGGTTCAGTAGCTATCAGGTCCAATAAACCAACCACAGTGTGAAGCTTAATTTCCAATTAATTCAAATGCTTGTAGGTTAAAAAAAGGTCACACAACACATAATATGATTACTTACACCAAATAAATCCAAAGTATTAAATATCAGTTGAGGTTTATATTATATGAATATATCCATTTATATTACAATCCCTTGCAAAGTACTGCATGTACTGTAATATTCTGCACAGAAATCACAGCGCATGCTTTGTACTGTAGACTAGTATCTACTATACACGATGAATGCCTGCTAAATCATGGCCAGAGCTCTGAGATATTTCGACTAAGCCATATCTTGTGCTTTTACTTCATTAACATTGAAAAACAACAAAATAAAAACATTCAGTACATGGAAGGTAAAAAGTTTCAGATAGAAAAAAGCCTCAATATTCTGAATAATAAATGTATCGAGTACCAGGGCCTTTTTACTTAACAATGAAGAGTGGAATACAATAAATTTTGACTATTACTTACAAGGGGACATTGCTGTTTTGGGGAAATTTAGCAGCAACCACAATAAAAATGTAGGCACGGGGTAGGATAGTGTCAAGGATGTGGCCAAATCGCACTAATCTTGCATTTAAATTTATTATTATATTAGAGTACTATATATACTGTAGACTTTTTAATCTCTATATATATAGGTTTCTTTGATCATGTACTGTAACTTACTCTGATCTTAAGTTTACTCTGGGATGATGAGATGACGGTTATTAATCCTAAAGGAAATTACAGTAAAATCTATAAAAATACCACTGGTGATACCAAACTGCACTGCTAGTCCAGATCACATTGAGTTATCCAGCACTGCCACCCTGAATCGTCTGACAGAAAAGACCCCAACGGCCTCTTCCACAGCAGCACAAACCACACTATCAGCAGAAGTCCCTGAAGGCAGGCAGGTCAGCACACAGCAGCAATGCAAGGTAGCCAATATAGAGGCCATCCAAGAAGAAACACAAGTAGGCGTTTAGGTAGTAGAAAAAAATAAATGTTCTCAAAACACAGATCTACAGTATAGCAGCACAGCAAGCCTGTAACACAGAGACCACAGAATGTCCAGTACACTAGCAGCAACAGACAGCCACTGCAGATTAACAAGTTTCCTATATTAAAAGCAGCACAAACAGTCTGCACCTCAGCAGATTAGAAGCCTACAGTGGCAGCCAAGCAGGCAGGCACACAGGAAACAAAACTCACGCCACAGAAAAAGCAACAATGAAAAATCCAAAATCACGAAACAGCTAAATGGAGTCAGCCACTCTGCTGTCGTCCCAAGAGACGAACAAGATGAGATGCTGTGTTCATCAAACCAACATGGTCAAAGTTAAATCAAAAGGCATAGAGATCTAAAAACACTGTTGGAATACAGAAGTGAAAAATACATTAAAATAAAATAATAGACTAAGTTCTGCGATAAGTGGCTGCAAGACCAACTCCAGAGACCTTTCACAGGAACCACTTCTCTTCAGGCCTCTTTTATATTAAGTGCATACTATTTTACAGATTGCCTTTCATTTAACTCGACTCTTTAAGTCTAAATTGGAAAAGGTATGGCAACGAAACAATGCTAAAACCTGTACTGATTTTTAATATCTTTTGATCTAATATATATTTAACAACCATACTACTTCCTTGTAAAATAAGATGAAAATCTTCTGCTTCATAATAATAAAGATTATCATAAAACAGTGTGGATGTTAATAAAGCCTACAAAATGAAGCCCTTAAGGGAGTCTGTGTGATCCAGTATAGGTAGCTGAAGTGCTAATTACATTTATGAAACAAATTAATTGAAACCAAAGGGAGTTTCAAGACTGTAAAACACACTGCAGACTTAAGATGCAATTTAACAATGGGTTTCCCTGATATTTGGGCACTAAGTCAAACTCTTGATATGTAAATGTTCCTTATATTCTCTTAATTTCAGGGATGGTGAAGCTGGCAGTATTTCTAAGGTTATAAAAATTACTAAAATCAGCAGCAACAAAATAGGAGACTCCCGAAATAACATCACAGCTCTTTAAGGCTACAAAGCTCAAAGACCCTCCAGCTGTAACCCTGGCAGTTGACTTCATCCTGCAGTAAAAGGCACAAAACCACAGTTTGATTTATTGTCCGACATAAACTGTTATTCAGCCTGCTACCTACTGTTGTCAAAAAGCATGATCGAAGCTGATGCTTTCATTTAAAACTATCCCTCTCGGTTCCCAGAAAAATGTTGACACCACTTCCTCCCAATGTATTTTACAAAGGAATGTTCTGCAAACAGTATATGTACTGTCCAGATCTTGTGTAGTTTCAATATCACGCAGGTTTAATATCAATGCAGCAAATATCCTGCCATCCATTTTCTAACCACTTTATCCATCCAGGGTTGTGGAGGAGCCAGAGTCTAGCCCAGCAGGCAACAGGTGCAAAGCAGGATACAGCATACTGTAGGTGGGATGCCAGTCCATCACAGCACAGCCCATATCACAGTGTACAATTTACAGCGAAATTCCCTGAACACTAAAACCGGATATTGCTAAATAATGTTCTGGTTTTGTACTAAATGTTCAGGTATCTCAAATGTTCTGACAAGACAAGCTGACTACGCATTCTGCTCGAAATTATAAAATGAAGTAGGCCTCTTAAAACTTAACCACTTTTTTTGGTTTTATAAACTAATAAAATACTACAGCCAAAAGGTAAGCAGCACAAACATTCAATATGCCTGCTGAACATTATCGCATAACATCTGTTATATCTCTTGGCAATAGAAACTGTTACTGGTGTACCTTATCAAATGCACTGGGTTAGGTTTTTCAGTCTGCTGAAGCACCCGTCTACAGATGAAGAGTCTTAATGACTGATAAATACAAATTAATTCAGATTTAAATATAGTTTGCAACAGGTAATGTTGAATATTTTCTTAAGCAGAAAACAATCTGCATCAGAGGAATATCATATTATGTACCATTTTGTAATGTATAGTCTACATTGTGTGGTGTTGTCTGCCGAACTGTGTCTTCTGCTGTACTGTGCATGTCCTTAGAGAACAGCACAGATAAGATTTCCAATGTACATGCACACACTGTATGGTAATAAAATCCTCCACTCTGCTATCACAAGATACAGTATTATTGATTTGCTAGATTGAATAAATACAGTGTAGAATCATATACTGTCTACTGTATATAATTGCTTATTCAGTATGTGATGCAATTTGTATCATATTACAGTCAAAATTACAATTTTGTAAGACTTTGTTTCTGTGATCCTTTTGGGATAGGTCATCCTTTTAAATGATAAAATGTTTTCATCTGACCTACTTGGTTAAACAGAGGGATTGAAATGTATTTATTTAAGCATGCATGGCATCACTTTTCAGGGCTTTAATTTGTTGTGGATTTGATGTTTTTAAAGAGGAAGGTTTTCCATTTGCGATCAATAATGCAAATAGGAAAGTGCATCACTCCAGGTATTGACCTGAACAAGCTGTAAAGATTCAATTACACAACACTAAAAAGCATTACTGAAAATCCCCACCTCCCCAAGCTTTTTAATATGGATAAAGCCCTGTCTGATCTGCTTTTGATTAGCAAATACTTCCCTTCACACATGCAAAAACCTTCACTCCCCACCCATCTCTTCAAACATCAGCACATCTGAGTAATACACCAATATATAGCTTTGATATCAATCACTGTCACTTTTTTAGCTGATCTAAACCACTGATTTAAAGCTAAAATCCATCACAATCCAACCAGCAAAGCAAGGACAAAAATATCACTGCGATCATGTTTTGCATTTAAAAGATATTTTTAGATCAAGAGAACAACAGTGTCTTAAGCAATTAATAAGCATCAAACATCTAAGGGACAAACAGTAGTTGCATGGCTAGTGTAAAACAAAACATCAGAAAAACCTATAAGCTTCTCTTTATATTTCTCAGAATTACTGATCTAATTTATTATGCGCACACATTTTTTTTGTTATAATAAGCTATACCATCCACAATCCCTCATCCCAGCAAACAACAGAGTGGTGAAGTAGACAGTGTTGGGTACAGAATGCAAATATTAAGATAACGAATCCCATTTGATCAGGTATTAAGGTGCCATCTGCTAAAGAAAGCAGCCAAATTACAGCCAACCCTTGAATTAGCAGTGTTAAATATATTAAAGCAGGACACAATTTGGAGTCTCTTTGAAAGGGCGATCATTTTCCTGTTTTGGGAAGGCTATAGTAAACCCTCAGTGGATTACCAGGGGGGAAGTGGTGATCTTTACTGCCAAATGTCTGTTAAATAATGAATTATGTTTTTCAGCCCCAAAACACAATGTTATACAAGAAAATTATATATGTAACATTTACGCTTTCTCGATCCTTTCAGTTTTTTAACAATTGGAATCTGAACATTAAATGATAACTAATCATGTAGCTTTTTTATAAAAAATATACAAACTCTTTATTTTATGTGCTCTTTTATTTTATAAATATATTGTGTAAAATTCTTTAAATCTTACAAAACACAAAAAACACCCATTTTAAGCAACTGACCTACTCCTATTCATGAATTTTAAACCTATGAATTACAGTATTTATTTTTACCTTGTTTCATTATTTGTGCATTTAAGGAGCTTTTTTTACGTATTGTTAGCATTTTAGTGTAGTTTTAAAATGACTGTTTTTTTTTCAAGAATTTGCTAAAGCATGCAAAACAAAAACATCACCCATCGTAAGCAATTTGTTATTGTGGAAAAAGTCTGGTATTTCTATTTTTAAAGACAAAACACCACTTAGCAGATAAAGTCCATTAAAATGAAGTCTGTTAAACCAAGGTTTTTCTGTATTATTAAAATGGAAAAGGGTAACTCATAGCTGAATGCTTGCTGACGTTAACTATAATTTCCATTTACCAGCTTGCAGAATGTCAATGTTAGTAAAATGAACCTTCAAAATTGCAGTCGCTCAGCTTCTGCATGACTTGAAACACATAATTTGTTGAATGCTAAGATATTAAGAGAACAATTTTGAGGCCCTATTAATAAAGAAAACAGAAACCTTAATGTGCCTTACCGAATTTATGCTTATTAGATTTTCACAAATCTTTCATCTTTCATACTATTGTATGCACTCACCATTGCAGGTGCACCTGGTGTTCCTATGAAAGCGGGGTGAGACAAAGCTGATCCTGGCTGTGCTGTACGTCACCAGGGCATGGGAGTCCAGTGAGATCGTCTGCTCACATAACTTTTCCTGGCACTCTAGGCCCGAGCAGTTTTTGTCCAGGATAGCTGAGATGCGAAGTACATTCTCCAGATGTCTCCTGGAGGTGCTCAGCTTTTGGGTGAGGTAGGCAGCTTTATAAAAACCTCCTCCTAATGTCTGCACTGCAAAAAGCATATCCAGCTGGTTGGTACCAGCAACTGGCTGGATACTGAGGATATGAAGGGTGTCTTGTTTCTGGGAGGCAACCACGTTCCGCAGGGTCCGTTTGAAGTTGCGCATGTGCAGGCCTATGAAGTCCTCCGGAGTGACACTCTCAAAGCGAATGGTGACTGAGTTCTGCAGCATCTCTGGTGTGACCTGTTCCACGTGAACAATCACGTCCACCGCCACAGCAAAACGGCCATCGCTCACCGTCACATTCAGCAAATACTTCCCCGTGTCCAGGCCCCCCAGGGCGATGATCTTTCCATCCTGCTGGTTTATTTTGAACAGGCTCTTCTGCTGGTACCTGTGGCTGAAAGAGAGCACGTCGTACACGTCCTGATCAGTGGCGTGGATTTTCCCGATGACACCCCCTGGAAACTCATCCTCCATGGTCACAATATAGATCTCCAGAGGAATAGCAACGGGTTTGTGAATGCTCTCCTCAATCACCCGGATGAAGACATAGGATATGGACGAAAGTCGAGGCTTTCCTGAGTCTTTGGCCTTGAGAAAGAAAAAAAGAGATAAAAAAAACTAACAAAATCTGCTCAATTAAATAACTTTCTTTTTTAAGGCCTATTGTACATAGAAATCTCAATATGCAGTGACATGATGAAGTGCAAAAATGCCACTAAAACTGAAAGAAGAACGAAACAATGAAAGAAAAGAGAGACCCTTTTACACTTTGTACATTCATCATACCGTGTAAGAATAGCTTGGGGATGTTCACCCACAAGGTGGAGGCTAGAGAGCTCACAACCCAGGAAGACGTGATTGTCAATTCTCCCATAATGGAGACAGCAAACTGACATCTAGTGTTGAACTGAGTAAGTGTTATGCAGTCAGATGTGACGCCAGCTACAGAGCCATGACTCTGCTGAGGAGTCACAAAGCATTGTTGTCATTGTTATTACAGAATTGTTCAAGACAACTTCAAGAACTTTATACTTTGAGCTCTTCTATGTTGTGACATATCACTTCAATCATATCAGCTATCACTAACATCAGACGTAGTGAAACGCTCTTTCTAACCTCTCTTGCAATGGTAAAGTTGACATAACTTTATAACTTTACAGCTGCAAAAAGCTTGCATTTTCTCTAGCATTGTCTAGATTATTTGCAAAAATAAGCATTAAGACAGCTTGATAACAAAAAAATAGGACCCAAAACATACTGTATAATGTTAATGTTTCCAAACAAATAGTTACACAATTATTAAAATCTAAGCATAAATCAATATTTTAGAGGGTATTTTGTAAGAACCTCTTACCTGAACACAAATGACATAGTCAGTTGTCCCCTCCCGTCTGAAAACAATGCCGGACTTCAGTACTCCATTCTGGTCAAGGGCAAATTCATTTCCCTCATTTCCAGATACAATGCTGAACTCATAAGGAGGACCATTATGTGAAGAGTCCTTGTCTGTGACTGACAGCTGCAAGATGCTTGTACCAATGGGTTTATTCTCCTGGCAATGTAAAAATCAAGCAAGTTCGTTTACCCATTTCCTAGTGCTCACACTTATGTAACTTCATACAGTATGTGCATGAGAACACTTTTTTGGTACAACAGTAATGGAATTTTCCCTATTACAACATGAAAAAAAGAGAAAAAAAAAGCTTTTGCTAAAAAAAAGCCCTTTTGTAGACCAATTTAAAATGGCCCTTAGCAAACAATTTTAGGACTCTTGGATTGTTTCAATCTTACTCCACGCCTCAGAGGTAAAAATTTGAACATGGCTATTACAAGTGGTCAAGTTTTGATTTTTTTAGATCCTTGATCTTTCTCTTCAAATGGGCTTTCTATTATTATAGAAAAACTATTGTTTTTATCTCAACCCCAACTTCCGAGCACCTGGTCACTTTTTCTTATACAAAATCCATTGGCAGATTCTGGTACTTTATTGCGTCCACTCTTCTTGGTGCATTTTTAAAAGATATCTCAGAATACATGGTTGAACTATACAATAGCTCTCTAGGGTTATTAAGACTAAATCTTAGAATTATACATTAAGGTTATTATTCTTAATTTTTCTTCTGACACACATGATTGATCTCTTATAAATGCTGCTTTCCTTGGCATACCGAGAAGTTGTGATAAGTCACATCTCTTAATGATTTCTGTTTCTCTGAATATAAAACATACAGTACAGTATCTACTTATCTAAACCCCCAAAATGGACACGGAAATATAGGACTTCTTTCAACTGTAAATCATTTGTTAAAGACTAACTGTGCTCCCTCTTGTTACTGTCTTAGAACCTACAGTAAGTACAGTAACAAATTACAGCAGGCTCAAAATTCAGCAGAATTTGAACTGGGATTTGCTGATTTTACTACTTTTGCTGAAATTGTTGGATACAGAATTGAATTTATAATCTTGATTTTAAAAGCACTGCATGGCTTGTCCCACTTCTCTAGTTAAACCCATTTTTATTTGTTTAGTTTATTAGTGATGCATGTCTTTTTTTCTGGTCTCAAGAATACACTTTGAAAAATACTTGAGCATCTGACACTTGTTTTTTTCCACTAATTATTAATGGCTTAGAATATTAATGTTTTCTACTGAAATAAAATGATATATTTTCACTGTTTTGCCAATTTACCAAGACATGGTCAAAATTAAACAAAGAAATGTAAGTGAAAATATAGTAAAGCTGATTCAACACTCTTTAAATTATATTATTTTAACATTTTTCAGAAAGGTGGAAAACATTAAAATACCATATTATAATGAATAACCATGCATTGAGCATACAGATACTTGGTTAAAAAACAGAAGTATATTTTAACTTTTCAAGTAAAGTTCCAGACTTCAATGAAAGTTCCAAAGTATTTTTTGCATAGAATGCAGATCACAATATTTTTGCAAATGAAAAGGCCCTAAAGAAATTAATTAATAACCATTGGTTTGCAAGACATCACATTTCAGCATTTTCAATCTGTCTGCAAAACCATATGTATCCCCCTGAGAAGTGACTTTAAGCCATTACAGTAATACCGCAGAAGAGATGTATTAATTTAAATTAACAGCCGTTGAGGCCTAAAAGTAATTGAATAAGCATGATAGCTTTACATAATTATTTTTAGATATTGACAGAATACTATATATCTTTTCTAAGGCAGTTACTTCATTAACAAATTTCAAGTAGCATACTGTAGGTTGTAATGTTTCATATTACTCCAGGTAACAGCAAAAATATAGGCTATTAATTTTAATACTATAGTTGCACAGTTTGCATTCAGTACTTTAAACATTGTGAATGCTCAGAAGATCTGCATTTTAGTTTGGTACAGTTAAAAAAAAAAATATATATATATAATATATTCCTTGCGACCAAATGGACACCAGAAGTTAAATGGATTGTTTTATGCAAAGACAGCAGATCAAAACTTGACATATCTTTTTCACTTTAAGGGCATCAAAGGGGCCAGATCTACAGTATATGTATGTTTAGTTAGCGGAAAACTTATCTACCTGAATGACAGTGGTGTAATTGGAGGGGTTGAAGAGGGGAGGGTTATCGTTCACATCTGAGATGTCAATGTTCACCATTACTGTGGATGACATGGCAGGCGATCCGCTGTCTAGGGCCCGTACTGCCAGAGAATAGCCAGACACCTTCCAGGAAAGGACCAGCCAAAGAATTATAAATTGAGAAGAGAGAGAAGAAATTAAGCATCGTTTAATCCTGCAATGCAGCACAGAATTCATTAGTATGGATTTCATTGCTGTCCTCTGTTTATTAGTAGGGGCTTGAAAGTCTATGCAGTCTCCCTGCGAGATTTCTCCTAAGGTTGCTGATGTTGTACTTTTTCAGAGGAATTAAGATGCATCAATCACAGCATCCTTTTCCCCATTAATTCCTCTTGCTGGCCTCGACATGTTTTAGTTCCTTAATTCCCTTTTAAACACTGCATTTTCTACTTCACTACATGATGAGGTATATTTCAAGCATATTAATAATGATCTTTCTGTCTCAGGCTGCTGGGAACATACTTACTGTATACCAGAGCCTGTAGGGTATGGAATTATTACAATTCTGAAACATTCACAGGATATACTACATTGTCCTGAAAATATAAATACAAGTCTGACAGCAGTGTCATTTTTATTAGCAAGGACAAACTTCTCCATAATGTATATTTACATACCATATAAACAAATACAAAGCTTGAATATACATAATTACAATCCTCCATCTGGTACTTTACTACACTTCGTCTTCACTACTAATACGTTAAGTTTTTACACACTTTTAGAACTAAACAGGAAAATGACAGAATAAACCTGATGTTCTCAAGCACAGCCTCTGAGAAGACAAAAATATATAGCTGAAAAACTGTAAATTAAAAACTGCAGAACTGCAGGTTTGAGAAAATTAAAAATCAATACCTCAGCTCTATTATTCACAATAAATCAACACTTATGATTCAGCCAGATAATGGAAACCAGCAAGCTATTCCTACCGTTTCTCTGTCCAGATGTTTATTGACTTTCATTAGTCCAGTGATTGGATCAATGAAAAACTGATTTTCCCGATCCCCGCTAACAATAGAGTATAAAATCTGCCCATTCACTGGACTGTCCACGTCCTCAGCCATCAACTGCAGAGGTAAAATAACAGATTAGATTAAAAAAACAAACTTTCAACAAGAATGCTGAAAGCCCTTTCATGCTTAAATACCAAAACACCCTGTAAGCCAGCTACATGAACATTTTGGTACAACTTTAATATGCTGCAGAGGTATCTTAACTCTGATCCTCACATTTGGCAAACACCTTAATTTGTTGTTAATTATACTCCCACTAATGATTTGGTGACATTTGGGTACGGTATGTCAACATGCATTTCTTAAGAATCTCTGCATTCAGTGATGCAGCAGCTAGAATACCTTGACAACTGATTCCCCAATGCTGGCGTCTTCACTGATGACCGCACTGTAGGCATCCCGGCTAAAGACAGGTGCATTGTCATTTACATCTGTCAAGTTAATGTTGACTGAAGTAACTGCACTCAGAGGAGGGGTTCCTCCATCTCTGGCTTCCACCGTGAGGAAGTAATCTTTACATGTCTCATAGTCCAGTTCTTTGGACAAAGAAATGGTACCTGGATGTAAAAGAAGAAAAGCCAGTAGAACGTGCAGTAATTATCATGATGATAGTGATTTACAGATATGGCATACATGACTAGCTCTTGCCTGTGTAATTTTGCAGCTTGAAAACAACTACTGTATAAGCACTAAACTCACCGTTCACATTTATTTAGTACAGTTTTCATTTACGTGTCATTCACATCATGAGAAAATCAAAATATGACACCAAACCAATGTTTACCCTTATACTGTAGATGCGTGTGTACATTAAAAAACCTTCTTTACTTCTAATCACCCATGTAAATAACGCAGAGGACTTTCTCGTAGTTTATAACCTGCTATTATTCTACAGATTAGCTGTAAAACTTGCAATCTCCTTTACCTGTGTGGGAATTGATCTGAAATTTCCCATGTCCATTGCCAGATCTGATGCTGTAATAAATTTCTGCGTTGGTGCCAATATCTTTGCTTGCAGCATAGACAGTTAGGACTTCGGTACCCAGAGCCACATCTTCAGGAACGGTAGCCAAATAGTCCCGTCTCTCAAAAACTGGAGGATTGTCATTAATGTCCAGCACTGTAATGGTGACGTTCACAAGGGAAGAGAGCTGCACGCTTTTGCCCTGGTCTGATGCCCTCACAGTGATGTTATACAGACCCTGCTGCTCCCTGTCCAGTGTCTTCTCCAGAACAATGATGCCAGAGGATTTATCAATAGAGAAGAAACCATTTGCAGAATCCACCAGAGAATATACTACCTTCCTGTTGACACCTGGATGGGAGGGATTAAACATATATCCAATATTAATTCTTATATTTTCACATATTCCTGTGTCCTTTTTTCAAGACTATAACACAAGATTCCACCTTTTTCTCTGTGCTTGACATCTAAAAGATGTGGGGGAACACTTTAATATCTGTGGTAATCATTAATTTAATTAATACCACTTTAATATCTTATTTATTGAAGTAAAGTATTGGAAATACAAACCAGATTTAAAAAAAGATACATTTGGAATTGCCAATATTTTCTTTCTATTATATACAGTACCCAACCTATTTGGAACAGCCATTTGCTTAAACACTCCAAAGCAACACATGCACGACTTAGGCAGAATAAGATACATTGATAAACTCCTCCAACTTGCCCACTTGTGGGACAATGTGTTATTTGACATACTGCAAGCTCCACAGCAAATGACAGGAGGGTTATAAGGGTTGGATGAATGTCACAAAGCTCTCACTGAAATCACTGTAAGCCTGTAGGTACCCAACAAGTTGAAGGAGTCCCGGCTAAGAAGAAACAAATGTCTAATACCATCCTCACCCAGACAATATTTTACAATTATGTGTTGCTACATGAGGAATCCTAGGTCACAGCCAGCTAGTTGCAGGACTAATTTCTATTATATTTTATAACAGATATAAATGTCTAATTTTCCTTAGCTGAGGAGAATGACTAAACCAAAGTGCCTCACAATTACAGGAAAGCAGACAGATAAGACCAATGGGTAACATGCGTAAGAATATCAGTCTACGACAGGGGATGGATTAACTTTAAAATGTTGTGACTTCATCCGTATTGTATAATTTGCCTATTCATACTTTTATAACTTCAAACAGGTAATCCGTTGTTAAAAATCAATTTGAGATGGGAAATTGCAGAAGAGTTGTAGCTGTAATAAAACAGCCGACTGTGAAGGACTATAGTACAGGTGCCAAAGGGACAGTAATACAGAGCATGATTTGGCAGGGTTTCAGTCCATCTCGATATAACTACCCAACAGACATTAAGCTTTATTTAATTGCTTTCACAAATTCTCAAATGTCCAAACCATTTGTTCTTGAACCATCCTCTGTTAAGTGGTGTTTGGCTCACATTCACACTTCCTTTACATCCAAAAAACATTTCTTATAGTTCATTAGTTTATCAGCATATTGATTAGAACAACACTTGTAATAACCTAGGGCATTCAAGTGCACATAAACTGAAGGCATTAAGACAAGGCATGGAATATTTATAAGTTCCATTTATAAAATGCTAAAGACATTATACCCTGATGTTATGAAGTAGTTTAGTTGATCCAGAAGACATTTTTAAATGGGAAATCAAACACGTAGGGACTGGAAACTCAATGCTTTGAGGATCTACAGTACAAAGAGTGGCCTGATTTTCTATTATATTTACTCGCAGATTTTATGTATTCAATGCCAGCCTTGCAAATGAAAGGCTTTGTCTACATTAGTTCAGCACAACAGATTATTGTTTTGTGCTCATCATCGATTCATTTTAATTTTTCATAAAACCTTTTCATAAAACAAACAACTGCCTTTGACAGAAAAGTATGTAAGTTATAACTAAGGCGTGTCTTTGTCTTTGCTACATAAAGGCAAAAAGCAGGAACACTATAACAACTTCCTCTGCCCCCTTATCCTTTCAAAAGCATTTCATATCCTGTGATTGATTATTCTGTAAATTAATTATTCTGACCTACTGTATAAAGAACAAAAAAGGACTGCCAATTTCAGGCTAGCCACTATTTGTAAAAAGTGGGCTGTATAACAATTTCAAGATAAAAATATTATATATACGAGAATTTAAAAGAAGAATTAAACTAGTGGATTAGAAATGGGTTCCTTGGAACACAGAAGCTTCTATTTCATTTAAATTGCTATGATTGGGAACATGATGATCCGGTATCTCAGTCTAAATAAAAACAGAAGAAAAACAGTCCATAGTGACTCACCTACGTCTGGATCATTGGCTTGAAGTCTAGTTAACAGAGCTTTAGTTGCAGTATTCTCATAAACGCTGGCCATGTAGTGCTTGGCTGAAAACACAGGAGGGTTGTCGTTCACATCTTCAATCGTTAAGAAGATGTCAGACTTGCAGTACCGCCCCCCTCCATCTGTGGCTCGGGCTGTCATTTTATACACTGGTGTCTTCTCTCGATCCACAGGAGACATGGTTTTCAGCTCACCTGGAAAACAGTTAAGTCAATGCGCCTGCCTACTGCTGCTACTCTACTATCCCCGAAGGAAGCACAGCTCTACTGTACATATAGCACAGGCAAGTCATTTCTAAATATTGAGAAGTGCAGTAATGGGAAAGTAATGAGAAAAATTTCTGCACTGCAGGTGCCATGATTTCTAGTTGGTTTGTGCTAAGACTGCATCAAGGGCCACCAGCAGTGCATAAGATACAAGCCATTTGACCCTTTTCTACATTCAATCCGCCTCTTTTGGTTTTAGACAAAATAACATAACGAATGCCCCTAACAACCTAGGAGAGAGGCCACATCGGATGTGGAGGAGGGGGAAGGCACATCTTCACTTCTCAGTCTCTGTGGTTCAATTCCAAAAAAATGTAGAAGAACTCTCATAAGAGACTGCAAGAATGGCTCATTGCTGAAAGGCTTCTTTGTCTGTTGCTGTAATGAGTATAATGTGCTCCCTATCCTTGTGAAATCAAGGGATGGTCGGTTGTCTGCATCCCACACCTCTTCAGGAATACATCAAAAACAAAATCATTCACTGCATGCACCTACGCAATGTTTTCCCCTGGAGGAAGTAAACCTACCAGATTACAATTCTACTATTTTATTTATCAGCGCAATAGGAAATGTAATAGATGGGAATATTTTATCACTTACAATAAAATAAAAAAATTGCTCTAAACTATTATTGTTTTATATTACTGTAGAGCTTCTTGATGATAAATGCATATTGAGCTTCATTACTTCTTTTATTTTTAAAAGAAATTTAAGCATGCTATAAACGTTATATACAAAGCATACAGAATACTCAATTTAAGACTATACAGCTTTAGCAATTAAAAACTGAAATTATTCCCTTAAACTGCATTTTATAACTATGAATTATACAAGATGTGCATGCCATCTAAGAAGTGCATATTATATATACTGCATATTGAATTTCTCAGTTGTGAGCAAAATGCTTGGAATGTGTAAGAAACCAAGGATTTTGAAATTAACATCCCCAAACTACAGTAATCAACATATCTAGATCTAACATAAACAGCCTCCTCAAAACTATTTCTTAAATGTAGTGTAACCAAAGATATCTTCATACCAGTTTCTGCATCTAAAAAGAAATCTTCAGCTCCAGTCCCATGCAAGGAGTACCGGATTTCAGCATTGGAGCCAATATCTGCATCCGTAGCTCCGATCTTCAGGACGACTTTATTTGGGGGTATATCTTCAGGAAATGATCTGGTATATAGCACCTATTAATAATTAATGTAACACATTAGTACCTAATGTAAAGCACAAAATGTCAAAATTGAAAAACAAAACCAGATGGTAGAAAATGAAAATAAGCGAGAAAGAATACAGCGCTCACTGGCCCAAGCAGAAATTACACACCCACAACAGAATTCCCTTTCTAATCTTCAATGGCAATAAAGACAACAAAAGCGACATTGTTCATGGGAACAGGAAATGTAACAATCATATTAGGCTTTAGCATGTTACAAAGTGCTGACCTGGTCACAAACAGGGCTGTTGTCATTGGCATCTATCACCGTGACTTCCACCACTGCCCTTGTTACAAACAGCCCGTCAGTAGCCGTGATATTAAGAAGGTACATGTCTTGCTCTTCACGATCCAGTGATCTCTTAACATACAACTTCCATTCTGATTGTATCAGTCCTAGGGCAAATGTTCCCCGTGGGTTCCCTCCTGAAAGGAAATTAATACATGATTGAAAAAAGCCTGAAGACAACTAATTGTTTCAGCTTTAAATACAGCATGTTTCTCGTTTACCTTACGTGTTCATCATCTACCTGGAAAAATAAAGAAAAACTCTATATTTTTCATTTGTTGTGCCCAGGCATGAATTTACACAGCAGGCCTTAAAAAAGAATGAGGTAATATTAGTTTATTGGTGTTTGGTGTTTTGTATTTTTATATGAGCATGTGTCTCTTGATTAAAATCCAGCTTTATGGATTCACTTTCAGATACTACATACAGATGGAAAAGACTATAAAGAAGAACAGATTTACTTTCCATGTGAATCAAGAGAATCTGCTGTATCACATCCTGTATCACAGGTTGCCAAAATGCAAGATGCTGACAATTTTGCAAACTCAATTTTACTCATATTGCTGATGTACAGTAGGGCATAATTTAATATTGTAACATAACAGATATTGCTTTTCCTATCTGATTCTGGTACGTGAGCATTTCTGTCTTCTGCACAAAATTTGATTACCAAGATTAATTCTAGGAACGTTTTAAGTTTTTAATTTAAGAAAATGAAAAATAAATGTGGTCACGTTAAAATTTCGATGCAATGTATTCACAGGATTATTTAAAATACAAAATGCAATAACTTTATGACCTCAATTCATCCTACATTTCATGAGTCTGACATTAACAGGATATTAGGATAAATAATTATAATTAGAGTTTTATTTGGACATAATATTTGAATTAACAGCTGAGCCATTAATTAAGGTCAAGCACATAACGAACTCGGTGCTTCTCAAGTGATTTGTTACATACAATGAAATGGTTTTGACTAGTATTATTCCACAATAATTAGTCAAGGCCATTATTTATGCTGCATGTGCTAATGACACTGCAGTCTCCAGCTGTACTTGCTGAGTGCTGAGATTCTCCCTGCCTGAGAGAATGAACTGAGCTGATGTGTTGACAGGAAGCACAAGGCATGACCTCCAGTGTGGTTTTGATTACTGCTGCTGGATGTGTAGCTCTTGTTAATAAAGTTCTGTTTGGAATGATCCCATTCCCCTCAACACGTAACGCCTCCTTCACAAAACACTGCCTGGTGAATGTAATTTTAATTCTTACACCCAAAACATTAACTGATCAGTAAAATGTTTCTCAGCAAAAAAAAAGATGATTTTAGGCAGAAAAGTGCTTTTACACAACACACAGTTTTAGCACTGCATTCTCTGAAAACATAAAGGACAAAGCCTGCTACCTACTCTGGGTCTCCCTAGCTAGACTGACACAATAATTGCATTTAATGTTACATAAATACTCTAGAGAAAGTTTGTCAGTCCTTTCACTTTAGCTTAAAGCCTTTGATTTCTGTCTGGGAAAAAAAAAATCCATCAGAATGCACCACACTGCTGAGGACAACTGATGTAAGCATTAAGGCTGCACAACACAGTCTGCAATCCATGGACAAAAACATACTGTACACTTTCAGCAACCTGATCACAGTTGAAGAGAGGTGTAGGTGAGTTCCTATTTCAAGTTGCCGAACATTATAATGAAATAATTTGCAAATAATATAGCAACAACAATAAGAGTTTTGTGGTATTAATTATGGAAGATACCCTAAGTGTTGATAGATCGCACAAATCTGTGCTGCACTTTTATGCAGAGGACTATTTCAGACCAATCATAAATAGGTGAAACAAAATATGGAATACTATCATTTGCTTTATGATTAAAAAAAAATAACTAGTAGAAATAAAATGGCAACATATATTTTTACTATATTTGCAGTGCTCTCTTTGATACACTGTGACAATTTAATAGGTTTGGGGGCTGCATGGACCCTAAAACTATATTTTCTTGCTATGTCTCCTTAGGTGCTACAGTTCACTCTGAACTTCATTACTAAGAGAATTTAATTATACTTGGGATTATTTCAGTGAGAGATTATTGTGATTTTGGGCTGTACTAACACCAAGAGACTGTCGAGTAGGTGTGTTTGGGCCTGAAAAGAAAACTGACATGTCACACAAAGACATTAGTATTAAGTGTGCTTAAACAGTGGTTATTCAGAGATAAGCACTGTAATTAACCAAGGATTTATTGCTCTGAAAGCTCCTGGAAAGGAAAAACAAAGAGGCAACCCGGAAAAGTCCATGGTTACCCAGGACACTGACATGGAAACCAGCAATATTGCTTTTCCACACCATTAAACGGCTTGGCGGGTAACCAATGTAATAGTGAAAGAAAAAGAATACATGCTCTCCACAAAATGTGAATAAGGGGTAAATAAAACCATCATGCCCAAGTGCGCTGTCGGCATAACTGAGAAAGAAAGCATCACATCACAACACAGCTGCTGCTGCCATTGCTGAAATCAAAAGAGTGAGGAATTCAGATGCTTTCCAGGACCACAGGATCAAAAAGATATTGCCTAAACCTCTGGACATAAGAGAAGAATTGAAACCTACAACACCAACAGGCTCACAAGGGTGCCTTGGTTAATACTGTATGAATTGTCTCACACTGAAGGCAATCATTTTTGCCATCTGACCTCAAGGATTTCAATGAAACTAGAATTTAATATAAATGTCTGCATATACTTTATCACCTGCCACTTGCACAATGAAAGAAGCTTGACAATGTATTAAACATACTATTAAACAAGCTAACATACAACACAGTACAGGCGAATGGAGAGGCATAACAAAGCAACGCAGAAACCACAAAACCAGAAAAGGCAAATAAAAATACTGTTAATAATAATAAACCTTTTATTTTGCCTTTCTTTCTTATTGTCAGCACAGATGATAAGTGCCACTGGAAAAATACCGTGAACACCAAAAAAAAACACAGGTTTACCACATACTATGTAATAACTGCACTCCACTTATTGGCAATTATTCATAGGTTTTTAAAAGCCCTACCAGCAGATTGAATACATGTGATGAGAAAGAAACAAAACACATCCAACTTTTTTGGAGCCTACTGTTCTCGTCAACAATGACCTGTGTTGGTATTGTGAGTGATGTTTTGTGCCTTTTTTCACTCTCCTTGTCAGTCATTTTAAAGACAAATCTTATCTATCAATTGCTTCTCCTAGGCTAAGACCAGATCTAACCTATTGTTGTGCCAACAAGACCTTAGAACGGCAAAGGAAAAGCTTTAGTTATAATTGTAGGTATAATTATATTAGGTATAATTGTAGATTTGAACCTCACAATAAACACATGGGGTTTTAAGAGTCCTAAACTGGCATAAACAAGGAAAACAACACAGGTAATAACAAAGCATGAATCCTTAAAAATCCCTGCTTAAAATGTTCCATGCTTTCATCACTCTACTATCCACTGATATTAAACTTCACATACTGACACCACAAACTGTATTTTAGTAGAACAAAATACAGAGTAATCTGTCAGGAGGGTTTAAAAATGAATACCATATGAGGAGTAATGACTTTAAATAGGTTTATCAGGTGTACATTTTCTGCATTCTGCTGATTTAAACACAACGGGGAACTGACTGCTCTAAGGTTTAAGTAATACCAAATAGCAATGAAGCTCATAATCCACAAAAACTCCTAGGTCTTCCTGTCACTTTTGTCTGATTATTCCTTAAAATACACCTCGCTCTAGTGCTGTGTCTCCTGTCCATGTCAGCAAGGCATAAAGTCTGTCAGAGAGATAATTAATGAGGAATAATCCTCATACCTGTCTCAGGTGAGCTGTCATTGGGGGAGATTAGTTTTTATGATATGGGTTTTCTTGTGTTGTATAGTCTGTCTGCTGATACTGAAAGTTGCACCTAAGGAATCTGATACAAAACACTCCTAGACTGACCTCCCATTGGTCTTAAGTGGCTCTCTTACATGATTTCATCATTGTGTCTTCTGTATTGCTTACTCTGTAGCACATCTAAGAACTGAGATCATGTAAGCCCTAATTGTTTGGCTTCTATTTATTTTAAACAATTTAGTTTAATTTAAATTATTTAGGGGGAATTTACCTGAATGTGGTTTGTAGACACAGCTTTCTTGCAATACAAGGTAAATAAAGCGTTTCAGAAGTCTGGCCAATGTTCCCTAATGGGCAACTAAGAGCTATATTAATATATTTGTATACAGTATATATATATATCAATTAATGCAGTTTCAATTTGAAGTACAATGTTTTTTTACAGGCATTATTTAAAATTCAATTATTTGTATGTCTGTTTTTCAAACCTCTACTACAGAATTAGAGATTCAAGTTTAATGTTGCATGAACTTAAAAATGAGGATGTTCTATGATCTCCAAGGTATCTTTAATATGCTCAGCTGTAACACAACACAAAGTTGCAGCTTACTTTGCATTAATACTACAGAAACAGGTTTAAAGCAGTCACACAGTATGACTCATTCTAATAAAACGAGAGCTCTTTTTTTACTGCTGAGTCCTTTGATTCTTATTATCATTTTTAATTGTTTCACAACTGAACCTGAAATAAGTATGCCAAGTCAGATCCACCAAAACAGCTACAGGACAGGAATAATTTTCTCTGCCCCTTACATATGATAATCTGGATAAACTGCAGGAAATCTGCAGTACGTTTTCTTTAAATATTGAGTCTGATGGCTTGCGACAGTAGGTTAATAACAGATCACCTAAAGCATTGCATCTTTTTTCCTCTTCATTTGACATTTTTTTGCCATTAGGAGTAACTCAACCAACAGTGCTCACAGTCACAGTTCCAAGCACTGTCAGTTTTCAGTGCCCATTAGCATGCAATGCTACAAGATTTTCTTCTTCCAAACTGCTTAATTAACTTTTTCCACTAACATAGTTGTGCAGATCCCCAGCCCTAAGGGTGTCCTAATTAATTAATTTTTCACTTTTGGATCAAGTAAATTCTATAAACTGCAGTCTTCTGACTGAGCACATTAATGGTATTCTTAAAATGTTTTGACACCTTTTGGCTGGAAACCAACTTGTGCTTCTGTGCCATCGTCAAAACACTGTGCAAAAGCCTCACAACCAATACTAGCAATCAGCCATACAGCTTTATACATCACTGTCCCCTAAATACAATGCTAATCAAGTATGAAACACATCACTGCAATTGTCTGCATAAACAGGCACGCTGGAGGCACTAAAGTCCCATTATGAAGCGAAGCCTTGCATCTTTGCAAAGGAGATCAATGTACCCCACATGCATGCAAAGAGGGCTACCAATAAAAGTTACTGTACCTTACATTTAACTACTTTATCTATATTTTCTTTAACTTCTGTATTAATTTATTTGTGTATTTTCAGAATTAAATGTATTTATTCAATGAATGCCTTTAACCTTCATCTGTTCTAGAGCAGTGAAATAGTGTATTACAGGCTTGGAAAAACATACAATTCTATGCTTCCTGTTTCCAATTTAAACATCAGGTCGAAGAGTGATACAGTACATACCAGGTTAATGCACTATATTCTAACAGCATGTTTTACCCACAGGGCATCCATTCCATATGGTGGAGGCCCCGTTACTATTGATCCGTTCCCTTGTTAGCTCTTGAATGCTTAACCCCTTAATTAGTTTTTCACATGCTAAAGTAGTAAATTGTGGCATCCAAATGCCATTAATAATACTTGATTATTGATTGATACTGAATTTTGCTGTAGCACTCTGCATTTATTCCAAGCGCACCTCCACCTATCATTAGTATGAAAAGGGTTTAACACAGAACATATCTTTAGAATTAAAAGTAACAGTCAAGTAACAGAAAGTAACAGTATCAGTCAAGACAGCTTTCCTCAGGTGGTACACAGAATATATGTATTTTTACATGTTTTCTAAACTTTTAGGATTTGTAGAATAAGGCCAAGAATATGTTGTCTGCTTTTAATAAGCATAAAAAGTTGTAAAAAAAACTCCCTGCATGTCTCTCAAATATCAGCAATACAAAAATCATTATTTTTAAACTTTTTTTAAATTCAGTTGGCAATAATATATTATTTACAGCATGTCATAATTTAAAGTTAAACATAACAGATCAATTTATATTACCATGTAATTTTGTATTTTGCCTTCATATAACAAACAGAGTGGTCTGTTATGGGAAGGGGGTGGAATTACCACCATAACCATGCATTGCAAGCCAATTTCCAAGGCTCACCAGTTGCGAAATTACTACCTTGCCTATTTCTGTGTCTAAATTTAGTTGTACAGAATCAGGAATTTGGATCAGGCAGTTGCCAGACATTATGTCGTGTTCTCATTTTTAAAAAAAAATTCTGGATGCATCCATCAGTCTTTTAGAATTAAAAGTCTAAATGATATGTACATAACAGACACATATTCATTAATGGTGGATTTTTAAAAAAAATTTAATTAGCAGCCGAACAACTAGAAAGATTGTTGTTACCAAAACAGTTCTTACCTGTTATATGAAAGCTGACCTGGCGGTTGATATCGGAAGTGTCAGCATCTTGAGTGTGCAGTACTGCTACCACCTCCCCCGGCGGATCGCTTTCTCTTCCTGAACCTTTGTAAAATTCCTCCACAAAATTGGGGGCATTGTCATTAGTATCTGTGATGACTACAGAAACTGTTGCTGTAGAAGAAAGAGAAATGGTCTCTCCAAGATCTGTTGCCATCACCCCAAATATATAGGAGGGATGGGTCTCGTGGTCCAGATCTTTCAAAGTGGTGATCCAGCCCGTGGTGCTGTCAATAGTAAAAGGTTCTGTTGTCCAGTCCAGTTCTGTGCTAGGAGCAGGAACTAAACTGTAGGTGACTTGCCCATTTGCTCCCCAATCTGCATCCAAGGCACTCACTTGGATTATTTTAGTCCCAATTGGCATTCCCTCCATTACAACTGCCTCATAAATATTTGTTTCAAAAGAAGGCTTGTTGTCATTTAAATCCAGTACCTTTACTTCCACATCCACAACAGTGACAGAGTCTATACGCCCTTGCTTCATAGTGGCAGAGACTTTAAAGTGAAAGGCATCAATAACCTCATGATCAAGGGCCTTGTCTAACTTGATGACACCTGTGTCCTTCTCAACTACAAACACCTCTTCTTGGTTGTTTTCTCCCATTTCTCCATTGACTATGGTAAACATTGCAGACTGCCCCAGGGCAAGGTGGACAGAACCAAGTGCAGCTCCTATGGGGATGTCTTCTGGGACTGTAAAAGAGTACTGTGGCTGGGTGAAGGAAGGTATTATTGTTTCAGGAGACAAGACATGGATGTAAACAGGTACAAGAGAATGTTTCATAGGAATTCCTCCATCGACAGCTTTTACAAAGAATGAAAGGATAGAATTTTTCAAGTGGTTAAAGCTACCTTTGGTGACCATCCACCCATTGTCAGGATCTATTTCGAGAATGTCCACCACAGGAACATGTGCCTCACTGTAAAGCGAATAAGTAATCCTAGAATTGGCTCCATCGTCTGGGTCATGAGCCTGAATCTGTGTGACCAGGAAACCCTTCCCAGCATCTGCTTTGACACTAGCCCTATACTCTACTGCTCTGAAGCGAGGGGCATTGTCATTTTCATCCACTAATATCACTCTGACAGTGCAAAAAGAAGCTTTACCACCACCATCCAAAGCCATTACAGTCAGAATAATATTTTTGTTTGCAGGGCTTTCCCTGTCCAGTTTTTCCATTGTTGTAATCTGACCGTTGACGTCAATGGAGAACTGATCATTACCTAAATCATTGACAAATGAATAAGTGATTTGTCCAAATGGTCCAGAATCTACATCAGTTGCCTTCACCTGAAATACCTTTGAGCCCAAAGCTGCATTTTCCCGGACCTCTGCGACATACACGCTTTGAGTGAAAACAGGACTGTGGAGGTTTGCTCCGAGAACCTTAATATGAACCTGGGCAGTACTAGTGAAGACACCATCTGACACGGAAACATTCAGGCTGTGCACGGGTTCCATCCTTTGCTTACGGTGGTTTGACAATGTGATGGCACCTGTTTTACTGTCCATTACAAAATTCATTCGCTCGTTCCCTGACAATATGCTGTACTCTAGTTTGTCAAAATCAGAACTGTCTGCATCGGATGCTTGGACACAGGTCACAAAATGTCCCTTTGGAGCAAGTTCGCTGACGTATGATTCATAGAGTAGCTGATTGAAGACTGGTGGGTTATCATTCATATCATTCACATAGACAGTAACTGATACTTCACTGCTTAGTGGAGGGAATCCATTGTCAGTTGCTCTAACAATAAAGTTGTACTGCTGTATCATTTCATGGTCTAGCATGCGAGCTGTCAATATCAGCCCACTGCTGCTGTCTATATGAAAATAGTCAGTGCTGTTATATACATCTGAAAAAATTTGGTAGCGCATTATGTTATTTTTTTCAGAATCCTTGTCTGTTGCCACAACTTGAACAGCAGGGGTCCCAATCATGGCGGTTTCGGCCAAGGTTGCTTTGTAGAACATTTTTTCAAACACCGGAGCATTGTCATTTACATCAAGCACAGTTATATCCACATCAACTTCAGCTCTGGCTCCTGTTAGGGAATCAGTTGCCCTTACAATCAGCCGAAACAGCGGAGTGACCTCATAGTCTAGTGAATTAATAACACTTAGAATCCCAGTGTCAAAGTCAATATTAAATTGTGAAGAATGATCACCATCCACTATTGTATATATAATGTTCTGACCTTCAGGACTGGTAGCATTAATACTAAGAATGGGTGTATGAGCCGCAATGTCCTCGTTAACAGAAGTTACGTAGAAAGACTTATCAAAAACAGGCATGGCTTTATTCACCACAGTGATTGGAAACTCAATGGTACTAGAAAGAGAAGGGTAGCCACCATCTTTTGCAAAAACAACAACCTCATATTCAGCATTGGACAAGTCAGACTCAAAGGCTTTTTTCAGAGTGAGGTCACCAGTATGTCTGTTGATCTCAAAGTGTCCATGATCATCCTTTAAGTAGTAGGCCACTTCCCCATTAATCCCTTTGTCTCGGTCCACTGCTGTGACTCGATATATTGGAGACCCAGGTTCAGCTTCTACCTGCACTGCAGCATAGTATGGAAGACCAACAAACACTGGTGGGTTATCATTGATGTCTTCAACTTGGACTTTTACCATCACCCTTGCTACTCGCAAAAGGTCATGTTCACGGCTAGCCTCCACGACAAGTTCATAAAACTCCTGTTCTTCTCTATCAAAAGGAACTCCAGTTGTCTGAATCACTCCTGATGTTGACTTAATCCTGAACTTGGTGCCGGCATTCAAAAGACTGTATTTCAGAGGTTCATTCAGACGGTTTCCTACAGCATTGACTACAGCCACTTTTGTAATGTTGGTTTTATTCTCAAGGATAGAAGTAGAATACATATTATGTGTAAAGTAAAGACCACTCTCCATTGCTTCCTTAACTAATATGGTGATCAAAGCAGTACTGGAGAACTTCCCATCAGAAACTTTCACATTAAATCGATAGCGGTCTTTAGAAAAATTATTGTTCTTTACAGTAAGAATGCCACTGGTGGATTCCATTGAAAAATGGTCCATGCTTCCTTCTGCTAAGGTGTAAATAAGTTCAGATGGGACGTTTAAGTCAGGATCAGTGGCTGAAACCCTGAGAACCTCTACCCCTATGTATGTTGGAAGTAACAAAATGGTTTCGTAGACATCCTGAGAAAACTTAGGCGGGGAGTCATTTGTGTCAATTACTTGGATAGTGACCTCAGTAGGACTTTCTGCTGTTAACTGGGGCTTGCCACTGTCTCTTACATGTACATGAAAGTGAAAACGTGCAAATGTTTCATGGTCCAGGTTAGCAATGGTCCTTATGGACCCCGTGCTTGAATCCACTGTAAAAAACATTTTAGCTGTATCTTCTACTATCTGATATACCAAGAGGGCATTTTGGTTTTTGTCAGCATCCGTAGCTTTTATAACCAAGGGGCTGTTGTCAGAACACAAAACAATACTGTTGATGGGAACAGCTTCGCTAATACTTCCTGTGTACCTTAGCTGTTGAAATATTGGGGGATTGTCATTTTCATCAATGATCTGAATATTAACGGTAACATTAGAAGCCATTGCTGCCATGTTGGTTGCCTGAATGATCAACAGATATGAAGTAACAGTTTCATAATCAAGAAGTTTTTGAGTGGTAATGACTCCTGAATATTGATTAATTTTAAATGCTCTTTCGCTATTTCCATGCTTGATTTCATATATCAAAGTAGACTGGCTCACAGCAGCAATTAGGATGACTGATGTACCAACAACCACATTTTCATTGATTTCAGCATGATATTCTTTCTGAGGGAACTTAGGACTGGAGTTGTCAGAGAGGGTCACTGAGATCCGGACCATTGTAGTAGCACCCAATGGAGGAGAACCATTGTCAGTAACTCTCACGGTGATGACATAATGGCCAATAGAGGCAAGGTCCAGCTCTCTGGCGACTGATATGATGCCCAGCACTGGTTCAATCCTGAAAGTGTTTCCAGTATTTCCTGAAAAGATTACAAAAAAACCTAAATAAACAAGAATAAAGTGCAAAATATATGTGAAATTAATAGATCCATTTCACATCTGTCAACCTTATTTAATGGTCATTATTTATAAACTTTTTTTATTTTAAAATGGAGTTTAAACTTGCAATATAATTTAAGTTACTAGGTAACATACATAGTTAAATATGTATGAGTTAACTATTTTCTCAAGGAATCAGCACAACAATTTGAACAAAAGACTACTTTTAACCTCTTTCCAACTTTTGAACATTGTATCAGTATCATACTGCAAAGTATTTTAATCAAAGCTTTCCTTTTTATATACAGTAATGATTGTAAATTAAAACAGAATTATTTCCAAGAATCCAGATTATTCCAGACATCTACAGTATGCTTAATTTTTGTCAGAAATCAGATGTCTCTTACCTGCTTCTATTGAGTATAAGAGTTCTGCATTTTCCCCTTTATCCTTGTCTAAAGCTGTGACCTGTATTACGGCAGTCCCAATGGCAGCTGACTCAAACACAGACCCCTCATAAAGAGCACTGGTGAAATAGGGGACGTGGTCATTTGTATCCTCAACATAAACAAGGACCCGTGCCAAGTTTCTTCGATATGGAAATTCCTGGTCTCTCACCTAATCATATCAGATAAGAGTGCAGCAAAATGAGAACATGTATGTCAATACACCACCACAACCATTTCCTGAACACTCACTGATGAGACTTGTGTTTCTGTGTATTCTGAAAACATTTCAGAAAAGAAATAAGCATATTTCTAATAACATTATAATAGGAACAATGGTTGGGGAAGTACACCATTTTAAATTCTTCAATATTCATTTCTTTAAAGTGCTGAATGTGCAATGCAAATACCACTATAATAATTACATTTTTTAAAGATCCTTTCTTGAAGTTATTGAATATCTTACGATTGTGAAACTATCCAGCTAAAGCACAATGAAGCAAGACAGAACCAATTTAGAATGGTATCAGGGTCATCTGTGTTTATTAACTTGAAATGACTACATATTGTGGTTCCAAATAAAATACAAAATCATCTTAGGCCTCAATCTTTATTAATTTCAATTTCATTGTGACCACATAACAGTCGAAACACAATTGATAGAAATCAGCAATTTGCTATTCCAGAAAATGTTTTATACATGTTCTTTTTCTTAACAGAAACAGGCAGACGTAAATCATTTTTTATTACTACCATACGTACAACTTTGACATTATTTAAAATAAATTAAGTTTCTGTTTCAGGATGCTGCTTCTTGATTTAGAATTATGTACTTGTCAGCCTAAAGTAATAATTGCATAAGCATTGCTTTATTTAAAATCAGAGATGTTGCACACCTCTGGATTCTTCAAAACTACACAGAGCTTCTTAGACAGAAATCAAGTCTTCAGAAATGTGTCTATTTTGTAAATATTTATGAGGAAATGAGGCAAGTGTAAATTAGCTTAGAGCACGTTAAAGGCCAACTCACTCACTTATTTTCAGTTTCTATAATCAACTGATTTAATCAATCTTATTTATCAGTGATCAGTCAGCTAAACTTCTTAAGAAATTAAGCAAACAAAAAATTTTAAATCGGCAAGATTCTATTTGTCAGAATGAAACATGAAGAGTATTGTTCTTATAAAAATGGACATAATAATCATTGCATAATAATAAACAATAGGAAAAGTTTTGAATATATTAAAAATGTTTTTTAATCAATTTAAAAGCCTGAAGAGAACTTAACATTTAATTGTGTTTAAACATGAACTGTCTGCCAGAGATATGGTCTCTTACCATGACAGTGAGGATGTGCTGGGCACGTGACTCATGGTCCAGTCTCTCTGTTGTGTATATTGTTCCTGTGCCAGGGTCTATCCTGAACATGCGCATGCTGGCGGGGTCAATGCTGCTATGGATGGAGTAGCTCAGTTTATGCTTCTCATCTTTATCCGTGGCTACTACCTGGAGAACCTCTGTGTCAGCAGGTGTGTCCTCCAAGATGGTGATGTCATAACTAGGCTGGGAGAACACTGGGCCATTGTCATTGTTATCCAGCACTGTAACAAACACCTGAGGTGCAAAACAAGACAGATGTAAAAATACTGCGAAAAGGGGATTGGGCCAAAGGTTTTCTAAACAAATGAAGACTATATGCGACTCAAGTGCTGACCAAATCTGGTCTTTTTGATATTCAGAGCTCACCTTGCAACCATTTGTCGAAACTACTGGTTTAACAATGTTTTCATCCACAGTTCTTTTTGACAGCATATGGAGGGTGAAACCACACGAGGCAAACAATGCTATCATCTTGCACAGCAAATTTTCCCAAACTTAATTAAGAAGCTTACCGCACAAAAAAGAAAATAGGAATCTTTACAAAAAGATAAAAATAGAATACTAAATATTGAGTTGTGAGCACTTTAAAAACTGCTGTTATCTGACTCCCATGGCCATTCTGATTTCCAAACCATGACAAAGAATTTCTCCCATATTTTGCAGCTTTCCAACAACAATGGGAAAAAGTGTCCCGTCTGCAAGTTCTTTTATTTAGACCTGGAAATCTCTGAAAGCTGCTTTTGTTTCCAGTGTTGTGATTTCTAGAGGCAAATCCTGGCTGCCTTTAATGCTACAGTAGTGCACAACCGACAACCACAATGAATCATCTCTAAAGACAATGCAGCCACATTACTTTTCATTCTGGAAAAAATGAAGTGGGAATAATAACTTTCCTTTGCCCCCAAGCTCTGCCCTAGTCCCAACTGTCAACTACCTATTTTCAGATCTGACGGATTCCCTGTAGGGAGACGAAATACAAATTGTTGTCTGTATTACTTGTCCATCAGTGATCCCATGGGTTCCAATGAGTTTTTCGGTGCCAACGGCATTAAGAGACTAAGCAGACAGATGGGACAAGAGTGTCAAATGGCAGGGAGAGAAATGCCGAAAAGAAACCACTAATAGACTGCACAGAATAATAACTGAAAATAACAAAAGGTGATTGATTCGTAGGCAGCAGCTTTGTTATTCTAAGTGGACTGAGCAATACACAAATCACAACAAAAGAAAGGAAGTGTTTTGCTATGACATGATGATTAAGCGAGATGACCCAGATTTTTTTTTTTAAAGAAACAAAGCCTCCAGAAGATCTTCTATAATATCATTCTGGGCTTTTCTATAGCATCATTCGTGTTGTTGCATTTACAATGGGACTGGTCTTCCCATTTTCTAAAACCGACCTAATTCATCCAAAAATATAATTAAATAAACACAAATAAATCATAATGCAAGGTAATTAACATGCCATATTCATAATACGCTTGTTACACAAGAGGTAAGGAGAACTCATCAAAGTATGCTCCTTTGTTGTGTATGAAAAGTTTACTTCCCCTCTTAAGCAGTCTGAACAGTAATTAGTTTTTCAGTGTCAGAAAGTATTCTGTCTCAGGGACAGGAAAAAGCTGATTTTGGCTTAATTTGGCCCTTTAATTCTTCGAGTCTTTAACGAGGATTGGCTTTTCTTTCATTCCCGCAGTAAGCCTTCATTTGCATTCAGCTCTTGTTATCTTTCAGAAAAAAAACCCTTCTCCAGGTCTGTTTGTTCACTTCCTATTCCCTAAAGCTGAAGCAACATTTTGATAAAAGATGCAGCCTACTAAGCATACATATAAGTGCCTACACCATTTAAAAGAAAAAGCCTATTCCTTACCATTATTCACTGTGGTCTGTGGGAAAAGCTAACTAAAACAAGTGATCTTATTTATAGTACATATAAACCTGAAAGAAAACTGAGGAAGAAAAATACATTATCTTTTAATCTGACCACAGTTCCAATATTTTTTGGTTTTGACAGCATAACTTCAGCAACTGAATTAATATATACTGTATAAACAGAAGAAATGTGGTTTCACTTTTTTGTATGGACACTAAAGAGCAGTTAAAATATGTATGTGAAGGACCTGTGCTATGTAAAACTCAACTCTATAAAAATGCAAATAATGTTTAAGCTTGAAACTACAGCAAAGGACTGAAAACTAGAAATTCCTCACTGAATTTTGAATGAATATTTCCTTTGATGGACTGAAAATTATATGAGTTTAACATCTAGAATGCTAGCGCAAACACTCTGACATGTGCTATTTTTCCAGTTCATGGAAAGGAAACATTTTTGCAAGTTTTCTGGTATCCCTAATCGGTACTCTGTGTCCAATCAGCTTTATCTGCGCTTTATCAATTTAATCTTTTCAAGCAGTCTCCTTAAAGGGCACTAAAAAAGGAAACACCTTATAGTCCTTATTAAGGGCCACAAACCATTTGTAATGAATAACCTGTAATAAGAAGTTATGAAATACACTTTTCACTGCTAGTATTACCTTACAAGAAGTCGCTAAGTGTGTTATGCAATTTTTAACTGGGCTCAGATCTGTTTTGACATGGTACAGCAGTGAAGTCCTTTTGTCTTCATGTCACATAAAGTAGCACTCAGAAACAGTAGGTGGTCTTTACTCTAATAACCTTGTCAATTCTGAATGATGCATAGGTGATATCAAATAGACTTTCTGACCGCAGCCAGTAGTCGGAACAATGTGCTTCCACAGCACATGGTACTTCAAATAACACATCCAATGCAGAAAGCAAAGAACATCAAAACATCCACTAGACACTGAATATGTACAAATTTAAAAATACTTATTACATAGCAGAAAACACATCTGCTCTTAGATCTTAGATTCAGACTAAATCAAAATTCTGAATTGGGTTTCCATTGGGTAGACGCACCATTACAAGATACTAAAACCAATAGGCTTGATATTGAAAGCAGGGTGGTGGGTCAGTTTTCATTTAATCCAAAGTTTAGTCTAGCTACTTACATCTAAGCAACAATGACACTTTGCTGTTTCACATCTTTGTTTTTTAGTATTCTACACACAATCTTTAGTTCGGGATTAATATTTTACCTCTGTGTTTATCAGTTAAAACACCTGTGAAGGAAAAAGATATGAATGTATCATTTTCTCTTTATATACTAAGCATCAAAAGAAACATCACTTATAACTGCACCAAATTCACAAAGCTATCAGTGAAGTGAAATCTTTTTTATTTAGCAGGTGTGCTGACATTTCATTGAACAGATGTGACATAGGTAATCCATTATACTGATTAACATTTTTCATCAGCAGTTTTGATCAACGGGGTGTCGTCTGTGAAAGCCATTGGCTAGATGCGTGTGTGGACCATACTAGCTGTACATGGGTGATGCATGATGCTCTGCAACAGGTTACAGATGATATCTTGATCATTTCTGTCCCATTCTTCTTGTAGAGCCTTGACAAACATACACTTTTTCGAGTCCAACAGGGCTCAAGTCTGGTGAATAGGGTACATGTGTCACATCAGGATGGGCTTGCGTGAAGGGCAGGAAATGAGGTCCAAAGACATCAGTGAAATGCCATGCAGTCAGATTGCAATCAATCACTACAAGTTTTGTAGCTACAGTCCTACCCAGACCATTGTACTTGGACTCGGCATTGATGGGTCTGTTACACACAGTAGTTATAAGTTACCATCGGGGCGCACTACACAAAAGTCAAATCTGGATTCAGCGCTAAAGAGAAAGAGAAAATTTCACTGCTAGTAAGTCCGTAGGAGGTTCATCCCTCACTTAATGATCACTTGTGATCATTTGCCCTCTAAAGAATCATTGTTAAGCTGCCTCCTCACAACTGAAATGCTGATATGTGGGTTGTTTCAACCTTGTGTTTCTTTTGTGGTAGAATTTATAGAGGCAAAAGCATGATGATTTATCAATCTTGACCAGGTATCATGACTTGTGTTGTGACTTGCCAGCCTAAAAATTGTCAGTTGCGGTCACTCTAGATGATGAGCAACAGTGGACTAACACAGTCCAGCCTCCAACACCCATAAGGCATGAAAGCCCTTTTTTTCTAGATAAGTGGGAAATATCAGTGCATTTTATGTGTTTTTCTGAAACTAAAGCCTAGATTAAGATTAGATTAATCTTAAAGACTTTTTCTGCAGGTGAGACTTTTCTGCAGGGTGAAATAATATAAAAAATTAATACACTTTTTTCAAAAACAAATATGTCTAAATACAGTGAATATTTCTTTTGATGCAAGTGGGCGTTCTTTTACCATGTAATATCTGTTAAAGTGACACATTCACGCAGACACTCAAAGGAGAGACAAAGTGGCTCTTCACTCTCAATGTTTTCAGAATTGAAAGTTGCAACTTAAGACTTATCAGGGCCTTAACCTTATAGGTTGAAATGCAGAAATCTGAAGATCATTTGTAACACTTGGCTGATACAAAACATGATGAATAACTTGGGATTCTAACAATAATCTCTTTCTTAACCTCTCACCTTGACCATTGATAAATTACACTTACTGCAAAAAAGTGTTTTATCTTGGTCCTAGAACAGATTCTACCAGAATTAACAGGGTCATTCATAAAACCTGTTGACATAATAGATCATGCAGTTCAGAATACTTTAAATAAATGTCGTTAATAATGGACGTTGTTCTCGGAAATAAAAGCTATATTAAGATGATGTAGAATAAACGGGGAAATCCCCTGAATTTCAAGACTTTTTTATAAAAGCTTTGCAACCGATATTGCATGTAGTTTGTGTTATTAATCTCCATGAAGACATTACATTATTTAACAAATTTGACTTTACAATGCCAAGGACCTGTTTAAATATCTCAATTTTTCCAACTTGTGCGTCACCATGTGCACTGAACTAGAAGCAAATGTATGGATTAATAAATCCACACAGACCATATGAAACTATAACACTGAACCATAAACAGTGGTTTGTACTGTACAGTTAGTTTAAAAAAATCACTTTTACATCAGTCTGCAGGTCTGAAGAACAAAATAACAACACAGAGGTCTTCATTCTGAGTTCAAAAATAGAATTTGGAGCAAACATGCCATATAGTAGCACTGCTGTCAACACATTAGAAACTGTGTACCTGTGTGGAGGCTGCATTGGTTCCATCAGTCACCTCTACAGTCATGTTGTACAATGACTTGTGCTCTGCATCCAGTGGCTTTGCAATGACAATCGTCCCCACGCCTTTTTCAATGTCAAATATGCTGTCATAGTTTCCACCTAGGGAAATTCGAAAATAAAGGCATTCATGACTGTTGAGAGCTTGATAATGAAGAGTGAAATAAATACATTATCATTCCACACATGCAATGCTGAGCTTATAATGTATCACTTGAATTAAGAGGGAAGGGGAAAAGTAGAAAAACCCAGAGCAAAGACATGTTTCTCCTCCATTCAAAATTCAGAATGTGCAATTTTTCAAGACTATTTTTATCATTAAAAACAAATTTAGAGGAGCCTGAACTCTGTATAAGCACTGTGAAATGGAACGTAAGAAGTGAACTCTGTTACTGAGAAGAATCTCAGGACTGTAATTGATTCACATGTGGGAATGCAGATAATTCTATGGCAGGCTGGGATAAAAGAACCTTAAGAATTCACTGCTGTCAAGGTATTAGGCTGTATGGAGAAAAATAAGTTCAAAATTTACATAAAAACAAACAAAACCACAATTTATATAAATCCAGTACATGTTGCTTATTTGTAAACTGTAAAACCTTATAAATCTGTAATTCTACAAAGTATTTCTAGTAATGCAACAGAAGCATGAAAATGAAAAACAAAATCCTCCTTTATAGCCATTAATTTAATTGCACTTGCGAAATAAATTTCCTGGCCATCTGCAACATTTTCAGAAAAAAAAATACATAGAAATAAAAACCTGTAGGTTCATTACACATTTTAGATTTTTATATTCTTCCTAATAGGTACGATGCAGTTCTTGCAATAAACTCAACTGCAGACCTTCAAAGATGTAAAAATGGTTGCTACTTTCTACCTTTGTCTTGATATTAACTGCACCGTTTTAAATAATTTACAAAAAATATCCAGTCATTTCCATAGAAACACAATTGTGAAAAACACAATTCAATGCCAACAGGGTTATTGTTGAGATTTATTTTTTATCTTCAGCATTAAAAGTGTAAAGATGTCAGCAGGCAGCGTGAAACTATGCACCCCCTAGCTTAGTTTTGTACTTCAATTCCTGCATCCTATCTTGTAAGACGCTGATTTGTCTATACCTTTCATTAATTGGGGTTATCTCAAATGCTAAAGTTTGGCTTGATTTCTTTTAGATTTATGTAGTTTTAAAAAATAGCCATGATTTAATCCATGTGTCATTGCTTTCTGAGTCAAAACATCAAGTGCTCATTTACAGAATAACTGAAGAAGCAACCCCCTTGCTTTGCTTTAAGCTTACGTACTGTACTGTATGTGGTTGTCTTCACTGTTTCCTGATGGTTAATAAGTACATGGCTTAATGTATCTATTTATATTCTGGTTATGACTAACAAAAAGGAAAACACGACAGCAAAACAGGGAGACAAGGAGAAAATGCTTCTAAAAATATTGACGTGATATTAATGTGATAAACAAAATTACAAAACTTTCTCAAGCTACAAATCTAAAGTAAAAACTAATTTTACAACAATTTGTAGCATTCTAAATTCTAGGTAACATTAGGTAACCTTCCATACAGTGTGCTGAACACAACTACTAAAAAGAAAGCACTCTTAACAGCCATATGTTGTAATTTCAGAATGACAAAAAGTCTGCTTAGTGCTGTAAAACGTATTCCAATTGTCATGCCATTCAGTCCTCTATACAGTATCTTTTACACTGACTGCATTACTGAAACTCTCTCAATTTCATGATGCTTCAGTCCTATGATAGCGAACAACATCTCCCAGAATTTATTCTACTAAAACTGAAGCACAACACTTCATACTAGATCATATTTTTCATGGTCAGTAGGTGTGCTGCAGTGCTATAGTATAACTTACCAATATTCATCTCACACTGTATACATCTGCTGTAATAATAAACATGGTGATAAAGTCTTTTTTTTATTTTGCATTTTAACTTCAGGCTAGGTTTTTGTACACTGTGGCATGTACAAAATGATTCAACATCTGGCCTTAAATTAGTAAATATCTGCAGAATGTTTTTCTAAAGGAAATTAACCCATCAGGAGCCAAAATGGAAAGCTTTGGCAAAAGAAACTAAAGCTCCAAGTTTATTTTTAGTTCCACCTAGTTATGTACTTTTCACCCAGATTAAACCACGACAAAAAACCTTAATTAAATGGCAGTGCCATTTCACAAAACAAATTGATTTAAAGACCTGATGCTCCTTGGTCTTTTTCTGATTTTAAGCATTAGGCTGAATTAGTAGGCTTAATCATTGCTTAGTTTTATGGCTGATGCCACACTACTTTAGTTTGCTGCAGAGAACTCAAAACAAGAAAAGAACTACTGCTGTTTCATTCTTCAGTGCATTTCAAATAATCTGACCTCAACTCTGCAAGAGATTTCATCTATTAAATCCTTTTTTTTCTTTTTTCTATGGATATGCATTAAAGAGTAAACATTTCTACTTAAGATGTACCAGATTTCTTTCTTCACCATTCTCTCACTGTCAACGAGTGCACAATGCTCATGTATCAAATTCTAATTTATATAAAAAGTTGAAAAAAGTAAAGAATTATCATGGATTCAAGAAAAACCACTACTGAAATAAACATTTGCTGCTGAGCTGTGGCCCTATTCTTCTGAATTACTGAAAAAAAACATGTTAACCATCATCATATACACTTGACCCTCATTAATTGCTTGCAAGCATGTAATTACCCAGAATATGTAATTAACGTCATAATTCAAAGTGATCAGGAATTCTCCATAGACTTCTGCAGAGCCATGTCAGAAAAAACACACTGTTGCAGTGTTTAGCTTTGCTTTAAATTGATTTGCCATAAATACTATGTGAAAGACTTTTTAAAGCAAAAGACTATTCAGCTCTGATGACAAAAATGTTGCATTGAAATCAAGCTAAACAATCACATCTGGTTTCAGACTTAAAAAGAAGGACAAGTTCTTCAATAAATTACAGAGGGAAACAAAACCCCTTCACACAAAGTAGCTATTAAATACTCTGCTGAACATCAAAATTGCATCCTTTCCTTAAAAATAGATTAAAAGTTCATTACTTTATCCCTTCAATGGCAAACACAAAAGGCTGGTTCTCTGTTGCACTAAAAGTTAATTTGGGAGCAAACAGAAAAACAAAAAAAAAACTAATTACTTTTACACTGTTAGCCCTTGAACAGGTATATATTTTTATGAGACATACAAATGTCATTTTTTCCTTATGGATCATCTGCATACAGATGAAGATGACAACAGGAGTGAAGCACCAATTAAAATGTGTTTGTTGTTCAAGAATAAAAAAACTCAATAAATCTGTCAACCTTTCTTGCTAGCATCTACTTCAAGGTAGTGACAGAAACTAATTTTCTTCCTCACAAATGCTTGAAATAGTGGTATTGTGAATTATGGCAATTATTATGGGGATAATGATGGTGAGTTCTGTAGAAACAATTCAGAATACACCTGTTTTACTTACAAGAGATGTAGAAATTGAACAGCTTATCACAATTTTGTGCAGTATCAAGGAAACAAGTTGTACTGGTGTTTTAAATTTATACAACTTACAGTAAGTGAAGACATATTAGTAATTTAAATGCATTAAAACAAGGAAACTTTGTGAAATGCAATTTACTTGAAGAAAACCATATGAAAGATAAATATAAATAATTAAACATGAACCTCATTCCATTTAAAGTCTAACAATCACATCTGAATGTAACAGCTATATTTAAACAATTATCATAAACACAGGTAAAGATAAAAAACAGACAAGGGAGTGAAAGACAAGTAGAGAATTCAAAAGCATTCTTTCAAGACTAAACTATTCATCATGATTTTCAAGTCACAATCTTCGTCCTCACTAAAGTGAAGTATAAAGCCTTTAGTTGTTACACATTATATACTTACCTTATGTAACAAAAAATAGCCATACTCATAAGAAAGAAAAGTCTGAGATAATTTTAAGGAGTAACTCCAAACTTAAATGGTTTAATTGTCCAGTGATGTGAAATTCTCACAGTTACAGACAGGTCTTGGCCAGAGAAATTAATCTGTGATTTTTTGGTGAAGATTTCACTTGCAAGTATTTATTCATTACCTGCTACCCATTTATTTTAATCACAATTTTCCAACTTCTGTCGATAACCTGAGCCCATACACTTATTTGTGTGTGTTAAAAGATCATCCAAGACAACTGTATTTTGTTAAAATCAGCAGAGTGACCATGCATTATCCTACTACCCACAAAGCATAATTGCTCATTCAATGAACCAGATAATTAGGCTTTGCAAGAAATTTCCGCAGAATGCTGACAGGATGATTGAAGATGACCACAATGTTTAGTTTCACAGACATTGTCTAGCATCTTAAAAGCCACTAATAGAAACTCAAATGTGAAAAAATATACATTTACCTGATTTTTCCTTTACCAAAGCATGACCGATTTAATAATATGTTAACGTTTCACAATTTGCAATAGACATTTAATATCCTCATATTTGTTAATATCCTTTGGATTTGCTAGGAGTGAAGTGGTGTCATGGTGATCATCACTACTCACAGTTCTGCCTCCCAGATCTCTGGTCTTGGGTTAACACACTGTCCAATTTTGTGTCCTGCCTTGTGCCCTATGCTTCTAAAACAGGCTTTGGTTTGGCTACCGAATGCCAAGAATAACCTTACTAGGAAAAACTTATAAGCACATTACATTTTTAAGGTTAAAATGATGGGACTACTTATTCTGCCCCTGAAGCTACACATTTTTTAAGACCGAAAGGTTTAATAGATGTATCACAATAATTCACAGGTAAAATTGTTAGTTTATTGTTATAAAAGTGATATGCAGACAAAACTGACATATCCCAAAATCTAGCAAATATATCAGCATATTATTTTTAGAGATAAACCAGTTCCTCACTTTTATGTTTAGCAAACTTCTACCACGAAAAAAACAACATAGCAACACATGTACAAACAAAAAATCTAAGGTCAGATTTGTTAAGCCAAAAAACAAGACGAAGTGCTGTCATCTTCAAAAATGTTACCATTAGAAAGCCTGTGTCTATAAACAGGTCTGTACTCAGTTCACCATCTACAGATAGATTTTTGATGAAAACAATAAAGAAGCGTTCAATAATGGTAAAACAAATCGAATGCAGTTCTGTTCGAACTGGAGATACCTTCTGTTGAACAATTCCTGCCACAAGCTGTTTGAAGAATATAGAACATCTCCCGGGAATGTTTGCCACCTTCAAGGTGCGAAGCATTAACAGGAAAAGGGAAGAGAAAGGAAGAAAGAAAATGGTTTAAGAAAAAGAAATGTGAAGCCTGAGTAAGGAGCAAAGGCAAAGAAAGTCACAAAGAAGATAATCAAAGCATGAAAAGCTGGAAGTAAATGCAGAAGGTATATACTTCTCTATACTTACTGTTTCAATGCTTTGTTGGACAAATGAAAAAAATGGATAAAAAAGGGAAATATACAAGATGGTTAAATAAGCTTCGGCTTTAGTACATTTCCTTCAGTAGAGCTTCCAAGGGAAGGTTAAGGACGCAGAATTATTTTTATTAATTTTCACATCTTTGTTCTCTTGTAGAATACTTTTAATAAACACAATCATATAATCACCATAATCAATGATGGCTGGGAAGGAAACTGCTGGCAGTTTAAAGACAATCAGGAATACAATCAGGTATCACTTAAAACCATAAGGAACTGTTAAATAATGGAAATGGGATTTTCTGCCCTATCCTACATTTTCAGTATCATTCAGTAATAAGTGAAATATCAGGTACAGGCAACATGAATTACAGAGTCTCTGCAGTTTAAGAATGCTAATTGATGAACAAGTTGAGTGATTAGAAGAGAAGTTTAATTTAGTTTCTCATCAAATGAAGGGCTTTCACTGTTTGCTTTTAGTAAACTTGACTGGTAACTGGAAACATCCGTTGTAGATATTAAGATGGAACTGTGTAAATTAATGTCAATTTCTATATAACATGAGTTCTTAGTTACCATGCTGAGGGGTAAACTAACATAAACACAGAATGCATACAGTTTAACGTCCTTCAGATTGTTAACAGAACATTTTGATGGAATTCAAGTGTAGACTGAAAATGAAGGTAACACATAATCCCATTTTGCACTCATGATTTTGTAACAGTTTATTCAACGTTTAAGTGATATTGGTTAAAGGGGGATATTCAAAACATCTTCTTTGCTACCACATTTCCCTTTCTCTAACTAGGTTTTGCTAGCCACAATAATCTTTATCTACCACAACTAAGTGTATTATAACAATTCTTACCGGTACAGTAGATAACAATTAAGCTGTTATTATTATTATTAAAATAATATGTTATTCTAATTTCATTTGAGACTAACTTTACCCTAAGATATCATCCCAATTAACTCAAGCAGTAAAGAGTTCTATCATATTCAAAACATGTAGCGGGAATAATAAATTAAAATCAAATTCTCTCAATTGTCTTTGAGAAGAAATCTACTGTACTGTATATCACCAGCTGAATAAAAACTCAAGTATTCAAAATTAAAGATCTTTCCTGAACTTTCATTTTAAATTTGAGCAACTTTATCTTTTCACACACAGAAAGTGAACAAAAACTGAGATACTGTCCATGCCCATGTATGAGAGTACGGTTATCATCTTAGTGGAATTGTCAAATGGAAAGGACTTTCTCCTGAATGACAGCTTAATTAACTATTTATTTACTATTAATTAACTGTTCCGACATCCCTAAGCAAATATGGAAAATATTTTATGGATGAATGTAAATCCTTTGTGTTTAGGATGGAAGACAGGAGTCTGCATATGCAGGATATGTATTCCAATGCGTTATTGATATGAATGTTAACTAGAGCTTCATCAGTTCACATTACTTCAGCAGATATAATGGTCATATGATTTTTCATCCCACCCTTTTGCAAAATAAAAGTCAGTCAGCAGACACAAACACAGCTAACCTGTCCACTGACGTATTAAGAGCAGTGACTGCTGCTCTTACCTTTCACCCAAAGCTTGGAGGGTGCTCACTGTAATACTGTATATACAACTGTCAGTTGGGATGTCAGTGTCCCCAAAATGTGTTCTGCTACCGTATGTGTACATAGAAATAAATGAGCACAGATACTGTATAGAAGAAGAGATGCTTTAATGATGCCATGTGGTAAATGTAATTCGATGTACCCTTTATTTACTGTAAATTGTTTTATTTACAGTTTTGATATAGATGTAATATGATACATTCTTTTAAAGATCTCCATTGCTTCTCTTATTGTTATACCACTAGACATTATACAGGTGCTGAAAACAAAGAGAGATGTTTGGGTTTTACAAATCTCTTAAAATGCACAGCATCGTTTCCAGTCACAAAATGACCGTGTTTCATTAAACAAACAAACAGCTTTAGTCCTATCAATGGAAACCAAGTTACTGTTGCTGTGTCAGGAAGTCGTTAATCTGAAGTTTTGATTTTTTTTAAAAGTGGTCAAGGTCAACACAGTTTGGTTTTTAATGTTATTTAAGTTCAGCCAAGCATAACAAATAAGAGAACGAACAGGAATGCCTTTTGTTTCATATAATTTGTTTTCCAAAGTCTAGCGTAGTCCGAAATATGTTAATCTGTCTTCTTTTGCTCCTGAGGTTTAAATATGTAGAAATATGAAGCCTGAAGCAGAAAGGTAAAGCAAAAATAACAACTACATCTATGCAGACCATCATCATTTATCCATTTATTCATATATCTATCTGCTCAACACACGCACTTCGAAGTCATGATTTAGATTGTGGTATGGTTTGAAAAATATAGTTGCTCAAGTTCATGAAGAAGTATTATTGGTTTATTTAAAAAAAAAAATCCAGGTAAACTGCCTTAGTGATACTGCTACTGAGTATAAAAATTCAGATCAAATGATTGACAGTCAGGAGAAGAGTTGACCTAGTGAGAGACAATTCCACTTGACTCCAGCTGCTCTGGCTTACCAGTGATGTCGAACCACAAAGGAGTGGCTGGCTGCTGCATGGAGACCACCCCCACAATCTCGGATACTTTATCATGCTCCATCACTGTGAAGTTGTAGAAGGGTTCATCAAAGACCAGAGGGACAGGGGACGGCACTGGCTTTTTTATCCACTCAATATGTAGACGTGCTGTAGATGATTTCTGTGGACGTCCATTGTCTAATGCTTTTATCTGAAAATTGCAGGAAGGTTGTGGATTGTCTGTTAATTACATTATTATAACTGTTTTGTAAAAAGCTTTCCAAAATGGTTACATTAAAAAAACAAAAAAAACAAAACAAATTGAAGGACCACGTTTTTGACCCTTATGAAAACACATATCCTAGGGAAAGTAATGAGTATAATTTTATTTTTAATTTCCTTACATTTAAAAATTATCCGTGAACTTTAGCTGCTTTTTACTGAAGTCTTTAATCTCTTATCTGCTGTTCAGATCCTGCAAGGTGTATAACCGCAGGGAGTTCACTGAAGCAAGCAAGCAATTTCTTTTTAAAATGTTCTTGCTGTTTTGTTTTAAATGAGAGAAACTCTACTTCTACTTATTAGTACACCAGCCTCTCACATGGGGTTCTAACTTCTATGACACACCAAGATTAATTTTGGATATTTAGAAAAAATTCACCCTAGTCATTATGGTTGTTTTTCTTTATTTTAAATGATATGGATTGAACTTTTAAAGTCTGCTCAACCTATTGAAAGTTTAAAGCTAGTTTACATCCTGCAATTACCTAACAATAATAAAACTGCTATGGCCATGTTGTAGAATTAATGTAAGATTTTAAATTCCTCTGTGGTTTCCCCATGCTTGTGCTGGGCCTCACCAATCTGTCAGAGCATATAACCAAACATGGATTCATGTGGGTGGCGTCCTGTGTTTGAACGTTCAAAATAATCATGCCCTTTAATTTGCAGAACAAACTAATCCATCTGGCATTTTTGAAAAGAAAGAAAACCGCGGGCGTACTGATAATTAACTGAACGTGCTTTCACATTAAAACTAGTAGGTGGGTATGTGTTGAAGTGGTCTGGGTAGACCTCACGTCAAACTGCTGTCTCCTGCAAAACAATTATAATATGAATCCCACCCCACCCTTCCTCATAATCTCTTGTATAAATGGTATTTAGAAATGTGTTTTTTTTCTCGCTTTGTTTCTATATGGAACAATACCAACAGTACACCTGTGTATCTGGCCAAGTTATTTTTGCAAAATAAATAAAACAAACCCAGAGTACTATAAAACACTATTACCAAGTACAGTATAGCTACAAAGTACTATTATAAACTATAATCATTATTAGTGACATAAAGTACTCGATAAGACGGTTGTGAACTTTGAAAATGACCAACAAAGCAACACATACTGTCAGGATGTCATAACTTCCAGCTGTAAACTGCTTCCTAGAGGACACCACTGCGGTTTTCGGGTCGATAAAAAATTTCCCATCCTCGTTTCCATCTACTATACTGTAAGAGAGGTCTGCATTCGGGCCCTCATCTCTGTCATAGGCAAACACCCTGTAGATTGGATCTCCCCTTTTCTTGCGGTCCCTTTCAGGCAATTTAATTTGGTACACTTTTTCAGGGAACTGGGGCTTGTTGTCATTCTCATCCAGTACGTTCACCATCACCCAGACAGTCGAATGTCTTGAAGGAGGGCCGCCATCCATAACCGTCACCTGTTTTCAAAAAAGAAAAAAAACACCCAGATGTTCAGTGAAATTCAAAGCACTTTTCCCCCCATATAGCTAATTACACAAGGAAACTGCATTTCCATGCATCTTCTGACAAGTAGAACATCTTGTCATATTTCTAAAGTCTCTCTTTATCTAGTTTCCTGTATTCTGACAGCTAATTAATTCCAGCTTGCCACATTTCTCAATAATGACAGAATCAAGCAAGATATATTTTAATGATAAATCAAGGTGATGATAATAAAAAAAGAAAACATAATGGAAAATAAATTAGGCTTTTCTTTAATTATTTTTAAACATTTCTAAATGGTGTTAAGCCTTTGGGAAATGTATATTACGGCACACAAAAAAAACATTTTTTAAAAGACAAAAGCATAACGTATAATAAGGTAAATACCTAAAACAAATTTTATTTCTTCTTTAGTCATATTAGGTAGTAATATCCTGGCTGGATATCTTACGACATCAACAAATCTTACAGATCTCATCTACCATTATCCTAAACAAACGGCATTAGTTTAATTTTTTTTAATAAATATGATTTACAATAATATAATAATTAATTATATAATATGAATTAATGAAACAAGACCTAAAATTCTTAAACTGATAAATATAATTCTAGAGACAACTGAGATTCATTAAACTTTACCCTTCCAGAGTTACAAGACTATTTTGTATTATATACAATAATGTTATTATTATTAAGAATAATAATTCAATCATTCTCACTAGAAAATGACAAGTTGGTAAATGAAAAGGAAGGGACAACAGCATATTAACATGGTATACAAAAGTAAATGTCAATATTAATTTGTGAGACTGAATCTGACTGCCTTACGCTTTAAGGTCTGAATGCATGAATAAACTTGAGTGTGAAAAGATGTGTGTGCTGCTTGTAAACAGGCTCCTGTCTCAAGTGAGCAAATCAGAGGAGGTCTGGCATTGATATGATGTTACACAGGGATGCTTCAAAATTTCTTAGCAAATCATAAAATTTACATATATGCAGATGTTTGAATGTCTGGTTTCTACCGAAGGCTATAGAATTTGCATGCTATGGCTCAGGAGGTTTTTAAAGGTACAGTTACACACTTGAATTCACTTAAATACTCAGGAATTTGAGATGTGCTGTGACACAGTAAGGTCTGCAGGAATTAATTTTGAGATATGATTTGCAACACTAAATAAACAACCCTCCAACAGAAACTATTAAGTCATTATATAGTAAATGTCAATGTTCATGCAATTTAGGCAAACCTTTACATTCACTTGGCTGAAGTGTAGCCCTTTTTCAATTATTCAATTTCCTAAGTGCTCACTAATTTTTCACTCAGAAAAAAGCTTCCATTCTAACTAATCATGTTCCTTGCTTGAACAAACATCTGTGTTACTTTCAGTACAATTATGTTTTTATAAAATTATTTCTAACTCGCCTACATAAATTAAAGTGGCATGTTGGTGGAATCTATGCGCTCTGTTGATTAAATTATTCTGTAGGCTTAACTTCAAATTAATCCAGTAAAATACACTTAAATTTAAAAAAATGCCAAACCAAAGCTAATGGCTCAGATGCTGGAGAACTAACCATGAGTACACGTCTAGTTGAAACTAAGAAGTAAGTTGATAAAGATAAATGCAGGAAATAGATTCTTTAAAAGTGTTAATTTAAGTGCAGTTTTGAATTACTACAGGCTCATTTGCACAGAGAGGTTGGGAATGGAAGAAACTTCATATTAGTTACAGACTCAGCTTCTTACTGCCCATGCACAGTTCAACAGAGCTAACAGCTAACTGAGTCACACCAAAAGGCAGCAAGATTGTTTTTTGTTTCCCCATAAAGAGGGTAAGCTGTTCCCAGTGTGCAGGGACAGGGGCTCCCAGCCAAATTTCAAAACTCCCCCCAGCATCTCAACTATTCACAACCATCACACCAGCTGCAAGATAGAAATTTAGTCATGCCTCAATCCTCCAAGCAGGCATGGCACTCTACAACCACAGTGCAGAGAGGAGAATGTCGACATCTGGCACTGTGATGGCATAGGATCAAATCCCAATAGGAAACGTGAATGTAAGCTATCAATGCAGGGCTCGATGCTTTTCTATACTGAAGTTGGCATCTTAAGCAACGTAAGTATTAAGAGGAAGACTTCATAATCTGGAGACCTTGATTTAGAACTGTTCCAGGCAACGTGAAATGATTGGAAGATGTTTATATTTACAACTGACAAGCTCTTGGATGTCTGAACTGACCCAGGAAATAAAAGCAGAGAACAGAACACAAAATACTGATTTAAGCAGCTGGTTTAGGCTTCCTTTCCTTTGTAACTGTGACAAAAAAAGTTTTGTTTGAAAAAGGAAATGAGGCAAAGATCTTTTAATTTACCGGTTTGAGCTTAGGAGTAACGAGCTTTTAAATCACAAAGATAAACTTCTCAAAGTATAGTTCCTACTTAAACATCAGAAGTATCACATACTGCATGTAAAAACATACCTCAAATCATGCACTGTATTAATAGTAAATAGAAATTATATTCATTATAAATGCAATATTTATTAGCATTTAGATGGATTTACTGTACCCCTGTAGTAATACAAATTCTGGTCATCAAGAAAGGAACAACACAGCAAAAAGCTTCTGCCATGATTCAGATGGCCCTGAGGATTTAGGCAGCTCATGGTCAGTGTTCCCCTGCATAAAGAGATTATGCGTACTGATTTTTGCTTTGCCAAGTTGCCCAAAATCAGACTAGATCAACCAGAGACACAACTACTGTATTAAAACACTGATTCACAAACAATACAGTCCAGTAGATCCTTGCTACTGAACAAGAGTTATATCCCAGTCATCAGAACTCTATAGAAAATGACTAAGATCTGAAGTGATTTTCTTGGGTTACATTTCAAACCTGAAGAAAAAAAAACAATGTACTTCAATTCTTACACAATGATAAGAAAAGCAACATGTATTCTCTAATTGTGCTGTGGAATGGTGTGTTCTGATATATACTTACTATTGATTATAACCCTCTCAGAAAAAAATGTTGTGAATTACATCCAAATTGCACCCAAACTGTATGGATCTTCTTGGCAATCTGTACAAACAGCAGTCTGTGAACGGGTTTCAGTCTCAAGTGAACAAATCAGAGTACTTGCAATGGCAGGGATTGTCTTGCAAGTTTTTATCCAAAAACACAGAAAATCTCCAGTCTTTTATTCAGAACAGTAATTATCTCTACAACCCTCTAGTTAAAGGTCCAATTTTCCTCATTAAAACAGCCGGCCGGTCCTTTTCCAGCAGAGACCTCAACATGACAATATAGAATCAGAACAGGATGGAAATATTTATTTTTCGGTAAGACCTGCAGGATTTCAAATTAATCTTCAATTTACAGTATGGTCCTCACATAATATCAATAAAAACAGTGCATTATTGTGTGATCTAACAATTGCTTTTGTCATCGTGGTTTTATATGAAAAAATAAACCAATTTTACCTCTATTAGCAAAGTTTCTACTCGAAAACTATCACTGTTAATCACAGCCAAACGACTGTTCTCAGCCACTACTTGTGTGAGGAGGGTCAGGATTACCAGCGAGAAGCAAATTCTGCAATTCTACCAGAGCAGACCTTTTCATCTGCTTTGCCCTTTTTACTTGGACCTCAGCAGAAAAGCACCGTTATTTAAATTTGGAATCTATAGCTCAATAACACTCTTTCTTTTTCCTAACGGAAACTAAGCCACAGCTTCTGACAGGCACTGCAGCTCTCTTTCAAAGTCTTAACAGTCACATACTTTGAAATGGTCACGTGGGCATGAAAGAATGTAAGCAGTTTCTACTGTGTTCAAACAAAGGTAGATAATCGGCTGAGAGTTATTTAGCTTTCTGCCGTGCCAAAACAGTTCAGCTAGTCACCAAAGCCTAGAAAACAAATGATTTGACAAAATAGTTAGAAATGTTAAATGCATATAACAGCCTTCTTCAAATGAAAAAGCTGAAAGGAACGTTCACAAGTATATATACTGTACAGTATATCAAAAATTTGTATAGGGGATGGCGGGGGTCACAGAATAAAACATTTTTGGGGGCAAATAACCAGACCTTTGATATGATATTGAATTCAGTTAAATTCCCTAAGGAATTAGGTTTTTCCAGATTGGCATGCTATTTCTTCAGTGCGTGACTCAGGGTACAGTTTACCAGCAGGCTACAACTCTATGAACAGCAGGCTCATTCAGCTTTATATGCCAAGTCTGCTGTGTTTTAAGCTCCAACCTTTATGGCAGATACATGGCAGATGTTAACCCCAGGCAGAAATCTTTACAAAGCTTTAGTTGTTGATGAGATATGCCAAGTTTTAAGTCAATTGGTGCAGCAATTCATAAGAAGATGATTTCAAACAGGGTCAGGCCACCATGTTGGTTGGTGTCGGACCCCAATTTTTGGCCAGAAATTAATGGTTTATCATACCCGGTATACCTACCAAGTAAGAAACTGCTACACTCCATGATCTTCGAACACCATCAGTTTCAAATGAAAGATTTAAGGGAAAGAAAAAGGATTGTGGATGCTGTGCAAATGATAATTTTGATCCATCTGGTTAAGAGTTCCTGAGGCTGTCTCATGTACAGCATAACAGACAATAGAGAACCTTATGCAGAAGTCCAGAAAAATGCCTGCCGGTGTATGATTCAAGTCAAATCATTTACACCCGAAACACAATATTTCAGACCTTAATTTTCTTATGAAAATAAACTACAGAGCACTGTCAATCATACTTCTGACAGTTTTAAAGGATAATAAATGTGAACAGTACCTAATCCAGAAAAATGACCCAACTGAATTTACAGTATACTAATTATATGTATTTCTGTCTGTAAAGTTTTGTATTGCACCACAATTCAAAGAGCACAGTACTGTAAATATACTGGGCAGATAATGACACAAGCATGAACAGATAACTTGTTTGTAGAAGACAAATGCGAGCATTTATAATGTAAAAAAAATCAGAGGTTCTAAAAATAAGAACACACCAATTTGACCAACTTGAAAAAAAATCCTTCTGAAAACAAGTCAGGAAAACTAAAAGGATGTGTTTGTGCAAAAGTGTCTCCAGCTTTTAATGTTACTTGCACATGAAAGATGCATATTCTAAACTAATATATGTACAGTTAGAAGATAGCAATCCATGCATTTGCAGTCCAATTCTCATGATGTGGGTTGTGGCTTCAAGGAGATACTGATCCTTATTTTTTCATCATGCACACTGCTCACTCCTCAGTAAATGGATTTTATTATTTTGTATGTCACTTTATAGCATTGGCTAATATTGGACCAGCTCAGAAGATACAACGAGTCAGAGACCTTAGCAGTAGGCTAAAAATGAATACTTGCAAATATACTGTAGGTAAAACCAAGTATTTCTACAAGAGTTTCTATGTAACAAGACAGCAAAGACATTAACTTGGTAATCTTCGCTTGTACTCAACAATATCAACTTCACAATGTTTTTCTCCACATGCCTTGTTGACATTTGTAGTGTAAGAACATTTGTCCTTTAAAAGTAAACCTGAAGACAAACAAATCCTTACTACATTCTGGAGCTTTGAAATTTCACCTGCTTGACCTCTCACAGCAAACAAATCCAGCCCGAGGGTATCACATTCTCAGGAAGCCTTAGCACTTCCAGGAAAGTTTAGCCATTGTTCTGTCATGGCCCTCCCCCTCACAAGATCTATAATCTCACACCTGCTCCATCTGTACTTTCCTCAATTCCCTCCCTGTTGTTCTCCGCAGACCACAGACCTTTCTCTTTCTCTTCTTGAAGATATAAATCGCCTACTTAACAACAAATAATTCCAACAAAATGATTAAGTATTAATTAGAGTATGAAGCAGACTTTCAGAAGAAGTCTTGCAGGCCCTTCTGTAAAAGGTGAGTTAGATCTTTTACAGCTTTAAGTTAAAAAAGATAGCACAGCTGGAAAAAGGCACTGGGAACATTTTGGTATGTTTTCCCTTTAAACATCAAGTCATGATTGTGCTCCCATTTATACTTAAGTGTGGTCAGATTAATTACACTGCAGGAAAAAAAAACTTTTGCAACATAAAATAAAATCAAAGTTAATTAAATCTACACCAAGAATATCAATATCTTTTAATGTATGTGACAACAGAATCATCATTATAGTCACATTTTTACTACATTGATCTGCAATTCTGCTAGTCTTTAAATGAAAATGGATTTTTATGGTTACATTAAATTGCAAGAATTGTTCTTAACATATAAAAGTTTGATGAAATGTTGCTTTTATGTTGTAGAAGCTGTAACCATAATAAGCAATAAACCACAGGATAAAATAATAATTTAAATGGCTTCAGGCTATTATGAAATACCTATTTAAAAAATACCTATTTTTTGTTTTGTTTTTTACTAATTTAAGTTATGATGAGATTTTAACCTTTTAGCCACTAATGACAATATTATTATGTTCCTTGCGCATTTTTCCTAAAGCAACACAAAGCATGCCTGAGAGGAACATCATTAACAAAATGGTACTCAGAAGGAATTAAACACAGATTCTGAAGAATATCTCCACTCTTGCAGTTCCAATGGTAAGAATACATGGACTTCGGTATATTAAGTCATTACTACTGATTGCCATTACTAACATTGAGAAACAAAAAGCTACAGTATGTGCAACAGGGCACAGATGCACAATTTCCACACACAGAAAATAAATATTGTTTACTAGTAATAGCCGGAATTAAGGTTTGATATTACTGTGCCCTGTGCTCCACAGAGAAATTACCTCGATGTGGATTATTCTGAATACATTTTAACATCATTAATATTTAAACCAGCATACTGTACTTCAATCAGGAGATAACAGACCACATGCATACTGCCCATTTTCTACCTACATTTTTCTAATCTAAATGAACTGAGGATAATAACACTATGCTGCAATTCTACCCTCAGTGTCATTTCCTCTCACCAATTTACAAAGGAGAACATATTAACAAAACTAATGTTACTTTATAAGCTCTTAACCCTTCGAATAAAGCAGTTTACAAGAAGGGAGGAACAAATATTTCATTTTCTGAAAGTACTTTAGAAATGTTCTTCAAATGTAATTGAACCACATTCCAGAAGCTCAGACTACTTATAAATTATCTTCATTACACAAACTAACGATACTACTGACAGCTCCTTTAGCAGTTAACCAATGGAATTTGTATTTTTTTATATTGTGTTTTTTGTATATATTATGATATATTTGATATGATATGCAGCTGAAAGATTAATTTCGGGTTAGTGTTTCTATCATTCTCGGGTCTGTGCAGATTATTTTACTTAAAGATTTTGTTTTTATTGGAAGGATGATGCTGATAACATATCTACATGCTGTCATACCTCTTCAATCACTACCCACTTGTCCTCATTAAGCCAATTATGACAGGAAACTCCCACTGACATGCATTAATAGAAAGACAAAAGCTTTTTTTTTAATTGATATGCCTTGCTTCTTACCTCTAAAACATGTTCTGCCTGTTGTTCTCGATCTAACTTTCTTGTGGTTGTTGTTATGAGGCCTGAAAAAAGAAAAACACAATCAGGTTACAGTAGCAATGTTTGATGGTAGAATTTCTGTTCAAATGCATTTAATTAAAAAATGTTTCAACAGAAAACACAAACACAAAGCATGTTGTTTACCACATAGAAATTGGACACCATATACCAGGTGCTACTTAAGGTAGATGTTTTTTAACAACTAATGTAGACTAAAAACCACACAACAGATGATGAAATCTGATACACACACGTGTCCCCATGAAGTACAGAGTTGATGACACTATGTAAGTGTAATGTGTGCACCACCTGTTTCCATTGTAACTTGTATGCACCCTCTGATGAGACAGGGGATAGTACTACCCATAGATGTTTAATTAGTATATGCATGCAAATATTTCCAGATAATAGAAACTTCCAAAGTTAGTGAAGTGTTACATGATACATATATCCAGCAGCCATATCACCCTGCAACTCACAACTGGCAACCCACTGAAGCTAAGCAGGTGTGAGCCTGGTCAGTACCTGGATGGGAGACCTCCCGGTAAAACTAAGGTTGCTGCTGGAAGAGGTGTTAGTTGGGCCAGCAGGTCCATGTGGGTCCTAATGCCCCAGTATAGTGACGGGGACACTATACTGTAAACAGGCGCCGTCCTTCGGATGAGATGTAAAACCGAGGTCCTGGCTCTCTGTGGTCATCCCAGGGCGTTTCTCGAAAAGAGTAGGGGTGTAACCCCGGTGTCCTGGCCAAATTTCCCAATGGCCCTTACCAATCATAGCCTCCTAATAATCCCCATCTATGAATTGGCTTCATTACTCTGCTCTCCTCCCCACTAATAGCTGATGTGTGGTGAGCGTTCTGGCAGACTATGGCTGCCATCGCATTGGTGGTGGTGGAGGGGAGTCCCCATTACCTGTAAAGTGCTTTGAGTGGAGTGTCCAGAAAAGCGCTATATAAGTGTAAGCAATTATTATTATTATTATGAGCAGTACTAAGTTGGTAAGTACCCTGCATAAGTGAATGAACAAAATATACTTAATAGGTCAAATATACAGTATAGCATAACAAAGTAGATCAGATTTAATGACCACTTAAGCAAATTAAGTCAAAACGTGTATCAAAATACCAATACAGCCATAATGGCATTTAATATTACAACAATATTTCTTATTGAAAACAATACACTGATGCTACTGCTAATAAGGATAATAATTAGCCAGGAAGCATGATTATTCTTTTAACAACAATGCATGGGGACATCACAAACAACACATCTAATTAAAAACTCACATAAAACAACAATCACAGACAGAGTTTTTACCTATGCTTCCTAAAAGAATTGTATACTAATTACAAGGCAGACAGCTAGACAAAAACATTACTTTTTCTCATTTTGGGTGATTATTATACAGACAATCAAGACCAAGGCCAGTTCTGTCATTTAAATTTTTTACGTTATTTTCCGGACATTTAATCAGTGGAGAGGAACACATTTTGCAGGGCATCAGTCTACACAGTGCTAATCCAGCAACCCAAGATATGATAAGATCACTTTATTAGCCGTATACAATTTCTTGCATTAGGAATTCGTCTTTTTTCTCATACCCCAGCTTGCTCTCCATGAGACACAGACACACAGATAGGGAGAGAAGCTTGGGGTCAGAGCACAGGGTCAGTCATTGTACAGCACTCCTGGAGCAGTTGGGGTTACGGGCCTTGCTCAGGGGCCCAACAGAGTAGGATTCCCCTGCCAGACACGGGATTTGAATCGGCAACCCTCCAGCCACAGGCATAAATACCCCAGCTTGCTCTCCATGAGACACAGACACACAGATAGGGAGAGAAGCTTGGGGTCAGAGCACAGGGTCAGTCATTGTACAGCACTCCTGGAGCAGTTGGGGTTACGGGCCTTGCTCAGGGGCCCAACAGAGTAGGATTCCCCTGCCAGACACGGGATTTGAATCGGCAACCCTCCAGCCACAGGCATAAATCCTTAGCCACAGAGTCACCACTCTGCCTAGCCTGAACTGCTACACCTTCCACTCCACCACTACATTCTTTGTTATAAATTTTTCATTTTTATTTGTCTGAATCACGAGCCACCCGCATAACTTTTTAAACTTTAAGAATTCTTCTGGGGCATTTTACAACTGGCAATGACATAAAAACCAATCTACTTAAATTATATGGTACTGTATGTACTATATACCGTATAAAGCCAGATCTTCTACAAGCAAGCCTTTTCTCCAAGAGTTATTTCAAATATTTTTGAAGACTGTATACAAATGTTTTTTAGATTTTTGTGAAAGCCTGCATCCTGCATTTTGTAACACATCAGTGGGAAAGTAATCTAATTACGACACATGTGCCCTCTTGTAAACTGAGAGATCATAACAAATGGATGTCCTTTCAGCCACAGGCTGTCACTCCTTGTGGGCAATAGCTGCAGTAGGAAGGCACATAACTGCTTATGCGTGACAAATGGTCAAATGCGTTTTTCCTCTTTTCCTTTTCACACAAATGAACCACTTGCAGATTTAACCAGATACTAAGATCTTCTAATTTTACTACATTTGATGAACCAAGAAATATGATCTATCAGGCACGATCTATTATCTATAAGGGTCAAAACAAAATTCCATTCCAAATTTCAGATCTGGTGTCTACAGCTGGGCTCTGTGCGATAGAGACTGGCTTTGGCTCACTTGAGTTTTCATAATGATTGTGGATATTTGTCACACAAGCATAGCAGACACAGTGCTCACCTGCTGATCATCAATCATCATGCTATAGAAAAATCATTTAATGTCAGGAGAGAGAAAAAATGATGAAAGACAGGAAGAGGAAAAACATACTGCTCAAAAACCCAAATCAGAAACACCTTCTATTTTGTTACTGGATTACCAACTGTTCTCGCTGCCCTTTTAAAATATTTTTCCTCCATCATTTTTTTTTAGCAAAAGCCCTTCAACAAATTCATGAAGCTAAGACGCAGTAGGAAGTCACATTGAGTAAACCATGTTTCCCATTGTGGTTAAAATGGAATTCATGAAGAGATCTATGAGAGTCAAACAACAAAGAAGAGCACAGTAGAGCACAAAGCGGTTTAACCTTGGACACTGTGATGAAAGCCTCAGGCAATACAATACAGTATTCACTGGTCATGTCACAGAAGTCTTGACAGTTTTTTTTGTTTCTAGCTTTCAGAAAAAAAAAATCTTCCTTTATATTAGAGAATGTGTAATATGAAATTTATGCCCCTTGGACAAATGCTGACAGTGCTGTCTAATATTTTGACAGTCCTTACAGTTTGAAAAAAAATCAAAACATGTCTCCAACAAGTACTGTGAAGACGCACTGAACTGAAACACAGGGAGTTCCCTTGAGACAGGCCTCTTACAGTCACCTTTTTTCTTTTTCACAAAACTAAAAGGCTACTCTATTTGTTTACAAGAAAGTAAACGAAGAGTCAATATTTGTCAGTACTACTTTGAAAATTTTCAGTAGCTAGTTGTCGGCTAACACTGTGATCTATAATTCTGTCTGAATACTTCTATTGAATATTAACATGTTCAGTAATAAAAAAAAAGTGATTTCGGTTATATTCTGCACTTAAGATCACATTACTGTTTTAAATTCCACAAAAATGTCCAAACATTAATTCCCAATGTACACAATTCAGAAACAGTGAAGAAGCCATAAAGTAATCAGCATGTTGCCTGTAGCATAGTTCAGATATACACTACAGCTAGTTCAGTGATTCTGGACAGGGTTTATGCTTCTCACACTCAACGTGATCCCAGATGCTCTCCAAGGTGTTGAAGAGCCTGACTGCAGGAAAGATCATCGCACTTTAAACAGATGTGTCGCTGGTACATAAAGTCAGATCAGAATAAATGCTATAAAAACAAGCTCCGTTGTTACAATTTCACAAAAGATTTGTGTCCAATCCTTGTATTTGCTGCCTCACAGCAAGTGGATTTATGGGGTGCTCAACATTAAGCATCCCACTACAGGTGAGATGGCAAAATAAGGACTAGAAACAGTATGCAGGCAAGCTCACATATCTTTTATCAAAGAGGGTTAACGTAGTTTGTTTTTATAGTAATTGCCCTCCATTTGCGTGTTGTGCACACGTCATCCTGTTATGGCCAACAATTATCTTAACAATACCAGAATGCATGGTTCGTAATTCTTAACTTAAATAAAGAGAAACAGTATTATGTTGATAGCCTTTGTGTTAAAAAAAATCTATGCAAAACAGAAGCTTTCTCCTCAATGGAATGAAATGATGAGATGCTGGCCCCCTTAGCTGAGACATTAGCATATTTAAACTACATAAAAAGATGACCTCCCAACTCAGTCAAGGTCACAAGTCTTGACAGAACTCTCACTTCAGCTGAGCAGCAGCTTTCAGAGCATAATGCATACCCCTACCGTGAACACAGTGCCATTGAGTTTCATATCAGCAGTGTATTTTTGACGACAGCTAGCTGACGCTGCCTAGAGGTGCTGATGCTGGAACAATAAATACATTTAATTTGTATGTCAGAAATTGAAAGATCCAGAGCCATCAACATTTATTTCATGAGGAAATAAAACTAATAGCTCTCAATGTATTTGTATCTATTGCATGAAATGGCTTTCACCTCAAATAAGGGGTGTGAAAACATGTGTGCCATAATCCATTGTCATGTCCTCTTGTGAAAACAAAAAAAGATATACCATTTAACAATAAATTAAAACTTGCACTTTTGTGGGGACGTTAGTGTTATTAGAGAGTAATTGCTTTCCTGATTCACCCCATTTATTGCACAATGACAAATTTATTTCTAAAATATCCATGTGAGTGTGTTACATGTTTACTTTCCAGATTGTCTCAGCCTGTTGCTTAATTAGCCTTCATTCACACTCAATCATATTCCCAACCCAGCCCTTCACTCACCCCTGAATAGGAAGACAGTGCTCTTCTCAGGTCAAACAGCACTGGATCTGTACTAACTGCAGTACTAGCATAGTACT